ACGAAAGCTTAATTTACGGCACAAAATTACGCGACTAAAATGGGCTGAGGAGATGAGAGCAAATGGACCTAACTGGAATTTTGTCATGGCTTGTGATGAAACAAGAATAGGCCTAGTGTCAGACTCGCGACGAAGGATACGTCTGGAAGACGAGCACGCTTGAGCAGCTCAAGCCCGTGTCCCGTTTCAAGGGGGAAGCATTATGGTATGGCCAGGTATAATGCACAGAACTCGAACTTCTCTTGTTTTTATTGATGGCACAATGACAGGTGCCTCATATCTTAGAGACGTTTCTGAGCTTATTGTGCGTCCATTTCGAGGGGCAGTGGGGGATGAATTTGTTTACATGGACGATAATGCTCCTCCCCATGGCACTTTAGCGGTTCGCAAATTTTGTGAGGAAGAGGGTATAAGAAAACTGTGGTGGCCACCGATGCCTCCAGATGTGAATGTGATCGAGCATGCTTGGGACATGCTTAAACGTCATATTGCCAAAAGGAATGATCCGTCCCGTACCTTAAATGAATTGAAAATTGCTGCGCGCGAAACATGGGAAGCCATTCCTCAACATATTTTGGACAACTTAATTGAGAACATGCCACGTCGTCTCACAGCTAGCATTGAGGGTCGAGGAGGCAATACAGACTATTAGTTGTGAGAAATAATTAAAATTGTTTTCAATATTTCCTGTTTAAAATGAAATTTGTTTTTGTTGATTTTCACTCATTATGAAATAAAATTATAATAACAGCCTAGTTGCACTTAGATTTTTAAATTTATATTAGTTAGTCGTGTAGTAAGCCAATATGTCCATAAATATAAAAAAATCATATTAAGTCCAAAATAAAATAAAAATATGGTTTTAGGTCTTTAGGTGTAAAAATATTTATATTCAAAACTTATGAACGAACAATTATGTTTTCAATCTTCTTTTCTCGAGAAAGCAGTGCTGTTGGTTAAAAAAAATATTTGATCTAAATGGCTAAAAATTAATATTATACATGTATTTTTAGGTCAATCAACAACACAAGGGATCAGAATGTCGTTTTTTTTTCTTCCGGAACAAGAGTTTCCGCCATCTCACGGCCTTTAGACTTTTTTAAATATTCCCATGAATCACCTTATGAATTTAATAGTAAGATTAAGCAACAGTATTTTTTTTCGATTTCAGCCAAGCATTGACGAGATTCTTAGAATCATTTTAAATTAAGATTTTGATCAGTTAGAGAAAGAAACAAATTTGTTCGCCATATGTCTCTAATGCCTTCTCGGAAATGTTCACATTAATATGATTCACATTAATCTATAATAGAGTTTTTATAAATTTTCTTGTAGGAAGTAGTAAAAAATAGAATTTAATTTAAACTTCCTGTTTTTGAAGATTATGACTAAAATTTTTCGCGAAATGTCATTAAATATTTATCGTAGGTAGTTCGTTAGTTTGGAACTATATAAATTAACGGTTAAAAAATACGTGTACAAATACAGATGCAAAATCACTCTGGCGGGTCTTCTTTCTGAACGAAACCATATAAAATTGTTTTTCTAAGTCTGACAGGCATTGTTGCATCGTAAACAAATCAATTAGTTAATTAGTATCGAATCCTAGTATACAGGGTGTTTCAACAAACATGTGCCATCTCACATGTAAAAATAAAAATTATTTTTTTATCAACATAAGCCCGATTTTGCTTTGTTTCGTAGCTACTAGGGGGTTAAAGTCTTTATTTTTTTCGATTTATTATAATTTTTTCCAGGTGCTTTTAGCGATTTGAATGAAATTTTGAGGGTAAATGTTGTAAGTGTTACATATTTTAGTACTAAAAACTGTCAACAGATTCACCAGGGACGTGCATATGAGTTATCACTGGAATATTTTTCTAAAAAAAAGCATTAACAACGCAAAAAACAAAAAAAACACACAAAAAGAAAACACACCAAATTTAAGAAAAAAATAATGGTATAATAAGATAATTACAAAAGCCCTATTTTTTTAAAAATTTAACATCCTGTAACTCTAAAACTAGGCATTTTTGTACACATGTTTATAGAAACTTTTTTCATATTTTTTGACGAGGAATCACTTATACTTATTTAATACTTTGTTCAGTTAATGACATTCATTTTTAATGAGCCACTCTCGTTCCATTTGAAAAAAATCAGATATGATTAAAAATACGATTTGGGGATCTTTTAACCTGCCAGGACAAGATATTAAAAACATTAAACGATCAAACCTATTTTACCATGGCTCCTTGATTAAAAATTAGTGTTTTTAACACAACCATGGCACTCTGGATTGACATTTAAAATACAATTTTGTTTTAGGGTGCATCCACACTATCCTAGAAACGACGTATCGGCGTAACGACCTTGAATAGTTTTCCAGTAATTCTATTGGCAGAAAAATTCATCTATCAGAAATTTTATCTGTCAAATTCATCTGTCAACAATTTCAGCCAATAGAATTACTGGAAATCTATTCAAGGTCGTTACGCCGTTACGCCGATACGCCGTTTCTAGGACAATATGGATGCATCACCCTTAAGTGAAAATGTCAAAAGTCGACATTTCATATGTAATTTTATTCAGAGTGTCATTTTCTACCGATTAAAGTAACAAAAATACCGAAGGTGTCATTTAAAAATCAAAAGTTGTAGTTAATTTCGTTGAAACAGAGGAAGTGACCGAAAATAATTGAATACGTCCAATCAATTCTAATTTATATCATATAGTAACATACCAAATCTCTTTTTTTTATCTGAAAAAATAAAAAAGTTATAGGGGTGAGCTACTTTTGAGACGCACCCGGTATACAGTTTGCTAAAAAAAATCATAAAAATAGGGCAAAAAGTAAAAAAAACTTGACGAAAAAATTTCCGTAGCGTTTTGTGGCATCTGAATAATCTGGGTGTAGAAATAAAGTATACGAATAAGTCAAATGAATGCATTAAAGTCAATTAAATCAGCGTTTAAGGTTAAAATAATGACGAGTGGCAATGGTAGAAATTTATCCTGCCTGATGCGATAGCGTCCGGTCATCCCTTAGGAAACATTATGCCGGCGATAACGTTTCCCTGGCCCGTTTATCCAACACTTTCTTCTTTTATTCGGCTAAACGCGGTAATTTCCAATTCCGCTCCGTTTTCCGGCAAAACCGATTTCGCCGATCGGGGGCGGAGGGCGGCTTATCGCCGTCCTTTATCGCCCGGAATTAAGCGAAAGGATGGATATATGCTTTCGTTCGCAAAATTAAGAGTCTGGACGTGTTAGGATAACAGTCAAGTCACGTCCGATCTCGATATTAAGAGTTCTATTTTATTCTCCTTAAATTGTTTCAGTTTTCCAGATATTGAAACCTACTCAAAACTCGACACAAAACAAGCAAATCGTTTTGATACCATTTAAACTTTTAGTTGCGTTATTGAGGGCCCGATTTTAAAAATTCATTGTTGCCTACCCTGGGTATATTCGGTGACGAGTGACGAGCTGACTAACTGGAATTTAAATTTCCCGCTGGGGTTCAGGTGGTAGCTCTGCTGTAAAAAATGTCAAGTTGCCGCATTTGTTTATTTATTTCCTGGCCACTGCCGTTCCCATCTGTGTGCCGTTCTTTAAAAGATCAGAAGGCACTGTCCTGACTCCTGACATTGTCATTTATTTGGAATTTTGACACTTTTGTTTTGTATTACGAGAAATTACGAGTTTTTTGGTTTAAATAAATAGCGTTGTGATACTTTAAGCTCTGCTTTAAGCTTAAAAATGTTTACTAGCAGACCTTGCAGTCGAACATCTTTTTAGAACCTCTTTTAGTGCGAAGTGGTACAAGATACAAAATATTTTTAACGGGAAAGCGATAGTAATGGCCCTTAATAGTGCTGTTAAGAAGGTGAGTTTTGTTGATGTAAATAATAACTGTCTATATATTTAAAATTAATTTATGTGTTTCCTAAAATATTTTGACTAAAAGGGAATAATATGTAAAAGTGGGCAACGCTGTGCCGGTCAAGCTTAATCACGTGACTAAAAGTTTATTTCATAGTTTATTTGGTATGAACTATACAGGGTGTTCCTTAAATAACATGCTATTAGCTTTTTTCGTTTTCCTGTAATTACTGATTCTGAATCGTCCTAGAACTCTGCAGCGCATGCGCAAATGAAATAATGTCTTTATATTTCCTTCTGCGCATACGCATCACAATTCTAGGACGGTTCAGAATCGGTAATAACAGGAAAACGAAAAAAGCTAATATTTAAAGGGGTGATTCTTGGACCTATTCTAAGAGAAAAACTTCATATGAAAATATGTCCTTAACAACTTAATTTCTCAGATAGAGGGTGGTAAAATTTTCTGAACGAAAAGCTTTTTTTTCATAATAACTCTGATTTTATTATAGATAAACCGTCATATTTACCTTAATACACGTCTTCTATATGCATAAAAATACATTTTTTGGTGAGCAAAGAATTTTATTTAAATCAATCAGTGTCGTCCATACGGATTTTATATTGACTACTTTTGGAGAAAAAAGTGGTACACCAGTGACTACTCTTAAAATAAAAATGATTTTCAAAATCTCCAATTATTTTAAACATTTTTTATCTCTTGATTTTTTTTGGCCCGACGCATAGATAGTTTTTGCTTAAAAAATTATAGTCAGTTTATTTCAGGGTCAAATCGCTGAAAATATGACGCGGTGTGGAAATGATTTCTGCATCGGCCGGAAGGAAATTAAGAAATAAAACATTTTTTTTGTATATCAAAATAAGAATTTTGATGCATGGAAGACGTGTATCAAATATATACCATCAGATATGTGTTGAAAGAAAAAATTAGAAAATTTTACCACCCTGTATCTAAAAAGTTAAGATGTTTAGGACATAATATATTCATATGAAGTTTTTTTCTTAGAATAGTATCAAAAATCACCTCCTTAAATATTAGCATGTAATTAAGGAACGCCCTGTGTAATAAGTATATATTATTATCTAACTCTTACCTTTTTCTGGCTCGTCTTTATCTGTGTCAAATTTGTCAAAAACTTTACATTCGACATTTAAAGGGCTACTGCTTCTACCAGACACGCTATGCCGCAGAAACGCGATGTATTTTGCTAATATTGTACCTGTGAATGAATTATAAAGTAAATATATAAATACCAGTTATCTATCGATATAATCTACAGAGAGGAGACTATTTAACATTATTTGCTTTTCATTAATTTATCATCTTACCAGTTCTTTGATCAGATCGTTCCTCAAGTTGGATTCTGGTCAATTCGCACAATTCACTTCCCGTCTGAGGAAACTTCTCATGATCTGGAGGTGGTTTCAAAGAAAAGGTTTTGGAACACCAACGCAGCCAAGACTGGATATGAGTACTGTGCCACTCTAGTGGATCTGAAACAGTAACAACAATAATGTTTATGTCGATCGATTTGAAATAATAAAATCGTTGCTTTGTCATAATATTTAAGTAGGTATTTGGTTTTTTACTAGTGCAGTTATTGAAACTAGAATTTTTTTTAGAATTTAGAATGAGTGGGAGGGGGGTTAATCACTTCGACCTTACAGATCCATTGTGTCCCCCTTTCTTGAATCATAACTCATCATACAGTCCCAGGGCTTTGACAAAAGCCAGTATCTGGGACGGTTTTATAGAGGGTAGTTCTCCATCTCCAATATCAGTCGTACCAAAATTCATGGCACGAATGGTTGTCGTCTCGGCGCACTCAGTGATGAGGTGTACTGGTGTTTCCCCATCTTCCCCACAGAATCTGCATTCGCAGTTTCTTCTTAGTTTCAATCTACTGAGGTGTTCATTGAGGAGACAGTATCCTGTTAAAAACCCCGTGACAATCCGAAGATTGTTCTTACTCAGACCCAGGAAGATCTGTGATTTTTCTTGATCATAAGCCCTCAGAAACTTCTTCGAGTGTCTTAGACCGTTGCAAGATTTCCATTCCAGGTTGCGGATGGAATCTTCCAAGTTCTTGAGTTCCGCCTTGAGTTGGTTACCACTTGAAAAGCAGAACGGTTCTGGTCCAGTTAGTGGAGTGTTCGCTCCTTTCCTAGCTAGATTATTTGGATTTTCATTGCCTTCTATCCCTTGGTGAGCAGGCACCCAGAGTAGGAGGACTTTGTTTTCTTTGCCCAATTTATTCAGCTTCTCTATGCATTCTTTGACCAATTTCGAATTGATTGATACTGAGTTGATCGTTTTTAACGCTGCTTGACTATCAGACAAGATGGCTATTTCTTGTTTCCGATAGTTCCTATCGAAGATAAGTTGTACGCATCTTTCGATAGCGTAGATTTCTGCCTGTAGGATACTAGGGTAAGTGCCCATTGGTTCGGAGTATTTAGCTTTCGGCCCAAACACTCCGATCCCTATTCCCGTATTGGTTTTGGAAGCATCAGTATACCAAGTTATGGTATGGTTTTTTAACTGCTGGGCAAGCGTTTCGCTCTTCCAATCCTTTTTATTGCTCAATACTACATTGAGATGTTTCTCAAAGTTGTACGTTCTTGGCATATCGTCCACTGGGAGTTGCAGGATGGTATTTCCTTTATGAGGGTGTTCCAAGCCCCTGATCTGACAATTCTCCCAGTACTAATTCCGTTAGTGACCATTCTAATCATTGTCGCATTGGCATATCTACCAATGACAATGTGCAGTGGTGTTAGATCTAGAATGACCTCCATTGCTGCTGTTGGACAGGTTCTCATGGCTCCTGTGATGCAAACACATGCTAGTCTCTGGACTTTGCTCTAGTTTTGTGTACCAGGCAACGGCTCCATAAGTAATCATGGGTCTTACTATCATGGTATACATCCAGCGCAAAATGTTAGGGGAGCAGCCCCATCTATTTCCGGCCAGTCTTCTGCATATCATGAGAGCCTTTATGGCTTTGCTGGTAGTGTTCTTAATATGCCTGTTCCACAGGAGTTTACTGTCCAGTATTGAAACTAAAAAACACTGAGGTACGAGGTTTGTGTGATGTAACGCTGTTTCGGGTAGTAAAAAATAAGTGAAAAAAAAAATTCGATCTAGGCGTCTTGTTGTGTTGTGACAATTTCAAATGTTAATAAAATTGCCCAAAATATGTTAACGCGTAAAGGAGAGCGTAATTAGGGCGTTGTTTGGGTGCAATAACATTCAATAACTCAACTTTCCCGGATATTCAACTCTCCCAAAACATCATTTTATAGCTTCATAATTTCTCACACCGATGTAATCAAAAACAAGAATGGATTCAAGCAGTTCGACGAAACAAGTGAGTAATCAAAGTGCTTGTTACATAATCAAAAAATTAAATAGACTATACTATGAGAGGATAAAATATAATTTGCAATATTAATGGTATACTTTTTTTGATCAACTAGTGCTTAAATGTTTTATCAACATCTTCTAAATCTAAAATTATAATTATGTACCTTTAAAAAAATTCGTTATAGCCGAAACAGCCCCAATTACGCCCCACTAGCAAAACCCTTGATTAAAACTATGCTCGCTACAGTAATTGAACTCATCTAAAAAGTTTTTTAGTTGGAATAATAAATTATAATACAAGTTAGACCTTCTGAAGATATCAAAATATTTACTTTTTTATTTTTATTTTTAAAATTTTCACAAATTATACTTCCTCACACTTTTAGAATAATTAAATGACAAATTTTTCGTATACTCGGTATTTAATCCCATGTATTTTGTATATACTAGTTGTTTACGATATTCTCCGATGGTGGCAGCACCGGCAGAGAATGCACAAAACCTATACCTTTTTGAGTATATATCCTGCTGCACAGGGTGTCCCATTTTCGTGTGTTTTATTGAGTTTCTCGTTTATGAGTAGAGATACTTTTTTTATGAAATTATAGAATACTACATAAATATTTGTCCTAGATCTCAGCGAAAAACTAGTTACGCCACTGGATTCTACGTGAAAAACTCTAGGAAACTCAGTTTCACCTATTCGCTAAGTTAAAGGATAACCGAGATACCAAAGGAGTCGAAAAATGCAAATTTTCCAAATTCGCCCTGTATTTCAGAAAATAAGAGGACTAGGACAAAAATCTGGTTGAAGCATTTTTAGTTTCATAAAAAATCAGCAAAGTTATGTGAAAACCGCATCTTTGTATCTCATAAACTCATACACGAGAAACCCCATAAAACACACGAAAATGGGACACCCTGTACAGTACACAATCTCAGCGGACCTGTAGTGATTAAACCCAAAAATATGCATAGCCTAAGGCCATTATAAACCTGAAACGCCGAACGAATGAAATATGAAGTAGACCAACGCGGAGATCTGAGAATTCAGTTCTTTGATGATTATATTCTACGCGGGAAAATTTTACTACTAAACGTAACCAGGGGCGGCGTTAAGAAAAAAATAATCAATTATATCTATCAATATAATATTACTATTACAATATATTTTAAATGGATTTTATTTTTACTGATATTAATTATTTCTAAAAAAGATAAATGTATATATCATATCATATCTAAAAGATAGACTAACCATATAATTAGATGGACACACACGAGAGGTATTTTTCGCAGATTTGTCCTATTACCGATCAATCCGTCATATTTACCTGCAAGTTAGTGCTCTATAACGGTAGAGGCCGCTTTAGTTTTAGAACTTTTGAACGTCTTGTACCGACGACGTGATAAATCGTTTTAAATATCTGCCTGTTAGTGTGCGCTGTGAGGTGAGATCCTTTGTTTTTTATATTGTTACGGATTCCGTGGGTCCAATAATTTAAACTCACGATACAAATACTTAAGGAATTTATTTTCTCACTTTATACACACAATTTATACTGATTAAAACACACAATTAACTATTTAAAAAAATCCTTCGCCAAATTGTCACGATTCACAATTTAAAACAGTGTATTTTCAAATTTCAAACTCCCAACTACCGATCGCGCGCCTTTATTTACTCTACCAACTGTTTCTGGAACCTTCTAAAATTATCGGTAGCATTCTGCCTCCTACTAGTAAATTCTATTGCCGCCTGATTCGCTTTTCTACTTGGCTAAGAGATGGCGCCTCAACAACAATGTCCTCAGATCAAATACGTTTAAAATAAAGTATACGGAGGGTACCGCTTAAATTCCTGTCCCGATATTGAAGGATGGCTATAGAATTTGAAGGCATTTCCTACATAAGTCTATCCTTGGTTTGTAGGAGGTTTGACTAAACAAGGATGAACCTATGTCTTGAACATTCGACTCCATTTTCTGTCCTCCTTCAATACTGGGACGTAAATCCTCTCATTGCTCTTATGGGGAGGCCGTCGTATATTTTATTTAAACGTATTTGCCTCAGATAGTCCTCAAGCAGCAATACACTTGCGGTTTATTCACTTCTCATACAGATGTCGCCACATACACCTTGACAATATTTTTCATTAACAGTCTATTACGCTGTACTGTGCGGGTCGCTCTCAGGGGTCGGGTAAAGAGGGTGTGTGGCCGAAGGTAATATATATTATTGTCAAGGTATATGTAGCGCTAAACTGTATTACTGGTTGCATAACTGCATTACTGCTACATAACCACAACGTGCATTGAGAAACTTGGCGAATTCGCCAGAAAGTAAAAGAAAATTACAGAATTCTTTCGCTCCAAAAACACTCGCCAAGGGGTATATAAAGGCCCGCGCTTTGGCAGTTGACAGTCTGAAGTTTGATGTACCGCGCTTTAAATTGTGAATTAATTGGCGAAGGTGCCAGTACTGTTAGAGTAATAGTTGTTGCATAAATTGTGTTGTAAATAGTATAAGTTGTGTGTTGTGTGTACAGAGTGAGAAAAAAAATAAATTGTTAAGTATTTTATCGTGAGTTTAAATTAGTGTACCCACGGAATCCGTAACATTATATTTCAGAAATCTGCCTAAGGCTTATCCCGATCCTGTCGTGTTAAGCCACATCCAAAATTCCAAACACACGTGGTTTGGATTTAGGCTTGATTATGGTTTGCAGAGCTTCAGCATTTGCCATAAAATAGCGAGCAATTTGTTACAAAACCATATAAATTATATATCACTGTAATCACAAAACTTCAATCTATTTTCGTATTGTAACGGAATTTTAAATAATTTCTTTATTTTCGAGAAAATTTAGTCCAAACATAAGGAATATTTTGTTGATGTTTGACCATCAAAATCTTACAAATAAAGAAGTTGGCTAAAAATGTGCTACAATACGGATATAGTATAATCCTTTATCTCTAATTTCCTTCTTCATTTGTCTAAAAATACCTTAAATACCTAGCCAGTAAAATGGACTCTTAAACAAAAATGTGTAAAATGCAACCTTATCAAGAGCTGGGAAACTTTTTAACAAGAATTTGCAGTACTCATTCGCAGATAATTTTTAAAATTTCCCATTTTTTCAAAGTTTACGAAGTTTCATGTCCACATTTTTGTCATTTTTGGACCCATTTTTTTATCCACTTTTAGATCGACTTATTTTTTTTCACAATTTTTCACAATTTGAAATATTTTTCAAAGTTCTTACCGTTTCTCTTAAATTTGGAAAAAAACATTTTATCTATATTTTTTACCCCTTCTCGGTGTGAATTTAAAAAAAATCTTAACTGAAATTTATAATTTTCCAAACAAGTTGAATAAAAATGTTAAATATACATATTAATTTTTCAGCAACTTATATTTTTTTTTAATTTCCTTCATCCCCTAGCTTCTAGCCACACTATCTCAAAAGAAACTTATGTATATCAAAAATTCAATAACAATTCTGATGTAATGTAACTATGATTTCCCTAATGTTACACCACTGACTGGCGGTGATTCACTCTTTTAAACTTGAATGAGATGGAGCAAAGTGCATGGTACTTCTCAATGAATAATTCACTTCCCAAAATTATTAACTTCTAGCCTTACTATAATCGTGATTATTAATATTGACTAACGAACTTTTTTATTTCCTAATATGCTTTGGACGCATCATACTTGTCGTCATAACACGAAAAAAACATATTACTAAAAGATATTTACAAGGAAGAAGATATGAATGTACTCAGTATATTTTCCCTTCCTCCAAATTCAAAGAATTATAATACTAATTTTAAAATTAAAATGAAAATTAGATACATACATGACGTGTAAATTTTCTAGCTAAAATATACGTCATGTATATCCTGTTCCTTGCGCATTCACCATAAAGTTGAATAGACGTCTTCAAATAGCGTTGACTAAAAAAATATTTTTATTCGTTTTTTAACGAACTTTTTAGGATGTTTGTTTACATTAAGTCTTTGTAAATAAATTTATTTAGCTATTTATAAAATGTATAAGTTTATACATATATTAAAACAACTTGTATTATTACAGTTACGTCTGTGCCTTAGGCGCCAAGAGCAAGAACAATATCTATAACTATTAAGGAAATAGTAGATAATCATAATTAGGATAATATCAGAATTCTAAGAATCTTACTGGTTTAGATGAGTGAAAGTGCATTATTAATGGTTAAAGTTAAAGGCTCAAATATTTTTCTAAATTAGAGAATAATAAATAATTCTCTAAATTAGAGAATAATAAATAAACATGTAAAATTATAGGAGTTAAATCAGTATTGAACAATAATTTCAAGAGATGTTTGTAAGATTTTGATGGTCAAACATCAACAAAATATTCCTTATGTTTGGACTAAATTTTCTCGAAAATAAAGAAACTATTTAAAATTCCGTTACAATACGAAAATAGAATTTTTTAAAAATGTATACAGGGTGTTTCGAAAAATCTGGTCATTGATTACTCACGATCCTGCCTAAAGCGCTTAACATAAAAAGCTGATTTTTGGAAAACAGATTGACTTTAGGGTGTAGAGTTTCGATAAGAAGGGATTTTTTGAAACTCGAATTCTAAGGGGGTGAAACTATCCCTCAAATATTTTTTATTTAAAAACCGGTGAGTTTTTCGGAAAAACTCTTAAACACGTATATTTTATTTTGTTGTTTTACATATTTTAAGATTTTTTATAAATTTATACAGGGTGTTTCATAAAATATGACCATTGAATAATCACGATTCTGCTTAAACTGCTTGCCGTTTAAAGCTGGTTTTTGGCAAACGGATTGATTGTGGCATGTAGAGGTTCCATAAGGAGGGGTTTCTCGAATCTCAAATTCCAAGGGGGTGAAAACGCCTCTCACTAACTACAAACTACCCCTCAAATATTACCAAGTTATATAATAATATCGCCATATTGTTTTTTCTCATGCTGACATAAATGTGAGAAAATTTTATCCAGTTTGTATGTTAAGGGAAATTCTTGCTTTGCTTTATCATCACCATTACAAATGTTTAATTCGACGCGAACGAAGTCGCTGGTACACGCTAGTTAATTATAAAACAAAACTATTCTTCTATTTACTTACCAGAAGGAACTAGCACCATCTCATCATCTACCTCATTATCAGACTCAACATCTCCACTCTCAGGACCCGACGTTTCTTGCTTTTCAAAAGCACCGTCCTCATTCTCATGCTCACAAATCCCGCTCAATTGCGTTTCAGCACATTCGGGTGACCTAATTTGCAGAAACCTTTCCGTTCCAGATAAAATAAGATCCAACGTTTCATCGGAGATGACTTTATAAGGCGAAAACACCGAAATCTCATCACTGCTATCTTTACTGATACTTTTTCTCAAAGTTTTGTAAGTTTCAGATTCAGTTCCGTCAAATATTGACGATTGTGATGAACTGGGATCAAAAAAATCACCCAGAGATGTTGAAAGACCATCTTTATCATCAAATATCGAACTTTTCTGTAAATTCTCACCAAGTCCTGTATCGCTTTTAATTATTTTTGATGACTCTGGAAGTTTTGTTTGAAAAAATTGGCTAAAACTAGTAGTTTTTTGTACTGTTAGGCTATCCAGGCTGCTCTGGTGAAGTAATAAAGGTCTTGGAGATGAATATTCCTTGATTCCTAAAGGTTTTAAACCAGAATTTGAAGGGTTTTCAAAGTTAGAGCAAAATAAATTATCTTGAAAAGGTTTGTTCGATGTTCTACAGTAATCTTCATGTGCTACTGATTTGTCTGAATGTTCTTTATACAGTTTACAAGTTTTTGTATCTGTATTACCGCATTTGAAATCATGAAAACTTTTGTATAGGGTAGGTTCTTTATCTATAGGAAGGGTTTCTGGTGACCCTAAATCATTTTCCGGTACTTCTATGTGGTTTAGATTGCTCTGGTATGATTCTAAATGTCTTTTAGTATATTTTGACAAATTGGAATGAAGAAAATCGCTGAAATTCTGGTCTGAGTTAGGAATTTCATCTTCAAATTGCTTTTTTGGAGATCCAGGATGATTTTCTGCTCTGTCCAGAATATCTTCGTGCGGCACTGAATGTTCTTTAATTATATTTTCACAAACTATGTTATTATAAAGTTGTTTTTCCGACACAAAAACATTTTTTGGGTGTTCTTCGAACTTTTTTTCGTCCATAATCCCATAATTATGATCGGGTTTTACACTTTGAAGTACCGAAGCACTACTGAACCGAAGAAAGCTGTCTTTACCGATTAGTTCGCCGCTCAACACTGAAGCTGATGAGGGAAGGCGATTTATTTGAATGAACCAGGCGCCGGTAAAAGTGGTGAATCACCGGAATTCTCGGGAATATATACGTCGATATGCGTCGATTTTTGGACATTTTCTTCGCATATAGGTCTCTTTTTAAGAGATACTTCAACAGGGCTGAATAGTAGGTTTATTAAAGAAGTATTATCATCGATAGAAGTTTCGTTTTCGAAAAAAAAACAGAAAATATTATCTAGGAATATAGCGCGGAAATACAGGGCCCGGCAATAGTGCGTCGCCGGGCATCTGTAGCTCCTAGAATAAAAAATTTGAGAATTTTGTTAAAGTGCAAAGTATAAAGGCTAATAAATAATAGCAATAAATAATAAAGTATGTACGAGGATTTATTTCAGGAAAATATTTTAACTTCTACAGGGTGGCTCAAAACAGCGTGTGAGTCGGGATGATTTTTTTTCAAATAGAACACCCCGTATATTATAGAATTTTTGGCTTCCTTTCAGATCATTTTGCATAATGTTAAGATCTGAGTAACTATATTTCGATAGTTTCAGATATATTTAATAAATAAATAAAAAATATATATATTTTTTATCCTCTCTTAAAATAAATATTAAAAATACAAAGAATAACTATCCTGAAATCAAAACTATATTAGGTATTTACTATTTACTTTAGATGATATATGTACTTACTTTTTTAATTCTCTATCTAATAAAAAATAATATACAGGGTATTAAAAAAACGAAAAAAAAAATTATTTTATATTTTAGAAAGATTATATCCGCGTAGAATTTTGAACATCCTGTATGATTTAAGATTAGGATATTTATAGCAAAATAAGTCTACTTTTTTAGTAAATTATATGAATACATTAGTCTTTTTTAAAATGTCTTCAAACTTAAACAGAAAACAATGTGGCACACTTATTTTTTAATTTATTTTTGCATATTTCTCGACAGCTCATTTCCTCTCTTAAAATCTAAATAAAAAATAACATGTGTGCTTGCAAATTAATTTAAATTTAGAAAATATTTGTCAGTTTTCTACGAATTTAGACATTAAAAATAGTTAAATCATTCTATTAGGCCGGGAGGTAACAAGGAACGCATACCACAGTGGCGCCTAAATAAATTATATATTTTTTTATTCCTACCGATCTCAAACTTCCTTTAAACAAACGTGGGTATTTCTTAGATCTTTGGACTAAAAATATTGACTTATTAGTTATTCTGGCACGCGTATCAATTTCTGGAATGACAAAATACCAACAAAATAAACAATTTTTTAATTTCAGTCATTTCAAAATAATATTCACTATTATGTTATTTTTATGTTTATTATTGTTATTTTACAATTTTGTTCAAATGCCTTTTTGTATGTAAATTTATATGGGAAATGTCAGCAGTATATGGGAAATCATCAGCATCTGCTGGTGCTGCTTATATGATTTAAAAACTATTATTTAAAAATAAACATATATTTACAAATAAATAGCTCAAAAATATCAATAATAAAAATATAAAACTTATATAACAGTAATTAATTTATAATACTCCACTATTTAAATACTGGCAATGCCATTCTTATCCACCTGTTCCAACATACTTTTTAAATTAGTATCAAATAATTCGCACCTAATCGGCATTTCAAGGGAATAAAAAGGATTTTTCAAAGCATAATCTGCATAAAGTTCATACACTTTCTTCAGTAAAACCTCAGTACCAATCTGCGTTTTATCAACAATAATCATTACTTTAACGCCAGTAAGTGTTTGAAAGCAGTGCAACTTAAATGTATCGGCTTCTAACACTTCTATACCCGAGCTTTTTGGTTCAGGACTCAACTGACTAGCTATTGCGAATAACGGATAGAACATGCTAGCTAGGAATATTTTCTCATTGGTTGTCATCTTAGGGCGACCGAATTTTAAAGTTAACGGGTAGTTTTCTTTGTTTTCTATTACTTCTGATACTTCCCTTCCATCGTCTAGCTGTCTGCCGGTAACTGGAACTCCATTAACAGCATACAGAACATGTCCCACTATAAAAAACACTACTTCTTACAAGTATTTATCATTTATATATAATACATACCGTGTAAACCTTCTCTTTGACCAAATTCAACAGAAACTTTCTTGTTTTCGTAGCTGAGTTTGATGTCTAAGGGGTAAGAAAATCTTTTTTCTGACTCGATTTTGGGTAATGTATGATCATAGTTAAAAATCAAGCCTCCCGACTTTGAAACAATATAAATGCCATAAATAACCATTTCTTTTTGTTACGAAATAACTTAGTAATGATATTAATTAAAAACAATATTTTTTAAAAAAATAAAAAAATATTCATATAACACATAACCATTTTTTCTGTTGTATATCGTTAAATGGCCACAGCTGCCAGGGCTAACCTAACTAATTGGACTTCTTCTTGATTGGTTTTACTGTCTAAGCTGCTAGGACTATACAGCCGGACTTATTTTCCTACTTTCCTCCTTTTCTTTTTTAATTGATTTAAAGGCCTAATCAACTAGAACTATCCGGCCTAGCAACTTCTTTATCTCACTCAGCCGTATAGTCCAGCCAGCTTAGGCCATAAAACTTAAAAGAAGAAAACACGCTTGAAGTTAGTAAAGCCCAAAATAATAACAAGGAAAATCACAAAGAAATATGTAATTTTATTATCAATTACATTAAAATTCAAACTTCAAATAGTTCAGACGTAATTTAATTTCATTGATTCAGATCATGCCTTCATTAGTATTCCTTTGGAGCAACTCTTTTTTTAGTTAAATGGGTTTAAACGTAAGTTAAAATTGAAGGATATTTTTGTGATTATTTATATTTAATCTTATTTTAGGCAATATCTTCTGCCCTACTAAAGGGCATTTACCATAGTTTTAAGGGAATGAGTGTAATTTGTTATTTAGATAAAGAAATAAATGAACGGAAACAAAATAGGCACAGTCCTACCATTAGACAAAAGCACATAGAAAGAGAACCTTCGCCCCATCCACATCAACGAAAACAAGAGTAAGTACTTTAGAATCTTCAGTTCTGTCTTATCTATATGTCTGTCATTTTTAGAGACTCTAAAGTAATTCATAAAGTACTACAATGTGCAACTTTAAATGGAGGCATATTTTTGGCCAGCGTTTTTGTATTTGAATGTTTGTTGTTGCCCAGCCTAAACAAGTTTTTCAGTGTTTTGTTTGGCAGTGATGCTTTTGTAACGATGGTAGTGTGGTCGTGGATAGAATATATTGTTCTGTTAGTTTATAGGTCTTTTTGGCTGGTGCCGTTATTCTTTTTAAGTAGAGTTATAAATGCCTTCTGGTTTCAGGTAATAAAGACACGTTTTTTTATTTATTTTATGATTATAGGAAATATTTTTTTAGGATATTGCTGATTCAGCATACAGATACAGTAGGGGTAGGCCTGTAGCTTTTCCAAGCATCAGTGAATTGTTTGCCGATTCAATTTTTAGCATATTTGTACAATTTTTATTCTTGCTACAAGCAAGTTTGACTAGTTATATACCAATATATCCAGTGGGATATATATTGTATGTGGTACAAATGTCCTTATTATATTCACTGTATTCTTTTGAGTATAAGTGGTTTAATATGGGCTGGAAATTGCATGAGAGACTGGCTTTCATAGAGAACCACTGGCCCTATTTTGTAGGTTTTGGACTGCCATTGACGATTTTTACCCAGCTCTCTGATTCATGGGTTGTAAGGTAAGTGGTATAGAAAAACCTGTGTGAGAACTATAGTAAGTTTTTTTCTTTTTAGCGGTTGTGTCTTTTCTATTTTGTTCCCTTTCTTTATTCTGAGTGGAAACGAAGCTAGTCCAGTCACTGATGCTAGGTAACCTTGTTAAGTTAATGCAAATGTAAGGTTTAAAGTAATTTTTTTTTTCTAGTGATATTCATCTACAGTTATTCACTCCAGTTATTGCAGTTGCTAATACGTTTTTTAGCAAAATTATTGGCAATAACAAACATATTCCTAGTGCAGCAACAAATGCAAATACCATGCCACAACAAACTTCCAGACTAAACAGGAGATAAAGGGTAACAATTTTTCAAAACCAAACTTTGAACATATTTTAACTTAAGCATAAAACTAGTAAATGTACATTTAAAACAATGGGACTGATTTATTGTTTTATTTTTTATATAAAATAAATAATATTTATAAGGACCATTGTTTGCTTCGGTTTGCTTTCATTGCGTTAATTTTCGGTGTCCTGATTTATTCTAATGTTTATGTTTATAAATATAATCTGTGCTCTGCCTAGTGAATTTACTCCTAAGGGTGCCTCCACACTATCTTACAAGCGACGTATCGGCGTAACGACCTTGAATAGGTTTCCAGTAATTCTATTGGCTGAAATTTTTGACAGATAAAATTTCTGGCAGATGAATTTTTCAGCCAATAGGCCAATAGAATTACTGGAAATCTATTCAAGGTCGTTACGCCGATACGCCGTTTCTGGGGTAGTGTGGATGCACCCTAAGGACGGTATGATCTAAAAAATCGGCGTCGAAGATGGCTTGGATATGAAGATCATTTTGTATGTAAAATTATATGTTGGGGATGTTATCTATTGTCATTTCCAAGCCAACTGGATGTCATTTTTTGGATATCTAAGCAATATAAAAAAATTATCTATAGTTGTACCGGGTGCGTCTCAAAAGTGGGTAACCCCTTATAACTTTTTATTTTTTCAGATTAAAAAAACGAGATTTGGTATGTTAGTATATGACATAAATTAGGATTAATTGACATATTCAATTGTTTTTGGTCATTTCCTGTTTCAGCGGAAATGACTACAACTTTTGATTTTTAAATGGAACCCTCGCTATCTTTTACTTTATTCAATAGAAAATGATACTCTGAATAGAATGACATATCATATGTCAATTTCTTACATTTTCGCATATGGTTTATTTGAAATTGTAACATGCGGTTCATAACGACAATAATACAGTGTGTGGTACAAAAAAAAAATAACTAAAAATTAATTCAAATTATTCGTAAAAAAATGCTTTTTCCAAATAAGTTAATGAGCCACCCTTGTTTAATTTATTAAAAAATGGCCACCCAAAGACATTGGACAATCAAATCTATTTTTACAAGGCTTCTTGACTAAAAATTTGTGTTTTTAACGCAGCCAGTGCATTCTAGATAGAAATTTAAAATACGTTTTTTAGCGAAAATGTCAAAAGTTGACATATGATATGTAATTCTATTCAGAGTGCCATTTTCTATTGAATCAAGTAAAAATATACCGATGGCGCCCTTTAAAAATAAAAAGTTGTAGTCATTTGCGGTGAAACAAGAAGTGACCAAAAACAATTGAATACGCCAATCAATCCTAATTTATATCATATACCAAATCTCATTTTTTCTATCTCAAAAATTAAAAAAGTTGTTGAGCCACTTTTGAGACGCACTCGGTATAACTACAGATAAAATTTTAACTTGTCTTTTTATTTATCTATCTAATACGAAGAATTCTAATACGAAGTTTTGATAAAAACTTGAATTTTTGATACAAGTTACTTTGAAAGATTTAAAAACGAATCGTGAAAGATTTGATTAAATTCACCCCCGAGAAGAGGTGAAATAAATAAATAAAACTTTTTTTTTCGGAGAAACGGTAAGAACTAGAAAAAAAAACAGTTCAAATAAAAGTTGTAGAACGTCCAATTTTACTTAAAAATTGTCTCTATACTTTTTTGCTCATTGTAGCAACCCTATCTCTGTTAATTTTAATCCGAGTAAAAAAAAAGTATAGAGATCATTTCTATGTAAAATTTGACGCTCCACAACTTAACATTATTAGAACTTCTTCTTCTAGTTCTTACTGTTTCTCCGAAATTTCGAAAAAATAATTTTATTTATTTATTTTACCCCTTCTCGGGGGTGAATTTAAAAAAAAAATCTTTCACAATTCGTTTTTAGATCCTTCAAAGTAACATATCAAAAATTCAAGTTTTTATCAAAACTTTGTATTTAAAGGCTCATTTTCTTGGACTACTAGGTATTTATAGTTCTTAAAATCTAATCTGTCGAAATCTTCCCTGACAAGACTACACTAGATAGACATTGATTTTACTGTAAAGTTAATAAATGAAATTTTAAAATACAATCACAGATCGGTATCAGCAAGTATCAGTCACAAAAAAGACCTAACCTTCCTTGGATGACGTATAAGATTTTTACTTCAGACGTACAAGATTTTTACGTTAGACGTACAAGATTTTTACGTCAGACGTACAAGAATTTTACATCAGACGTACAAGATTTTTACGTCAGACGTACAAGATTTTTACGTCAGAAGTACAAGATTTTTACGTCAGACGTATAAGATTTTTATGTCAGAGGTACAAGATTTTTATGTCAGAGGAACAAGATTTTTATGTCAGACGTACAAGATTTTTACGTCAGACGTATAAGATTTTTGTCAGGTACAAGATTTTTACGTCAGACGTACAAGATTTTTACGTCAAACGTACAAGATTTTTACGTTAGACGTACAAAATTTTTACGTCAGACGTACAAGATTTTTACGTCAGAAGTACCAGATTTTTACGTCAGACGTATAAGATTTTTATGTCAGAGGTACAAGATTTTTACGTCAGAAGTACAAGATTTTTACGTCAGACGTATAAGATTTTTATGTCACAGGAACAAGATGTTTATGTCACAGGAACAAGATTTTTACGTCAGACATACAAGATTTTTACGTCAAACGTACAAAATTTTTACGTCAGACGTACAAGATTTTTACGTCAGAAGTACAAGATTTTTACGTCAGAAGTACAAGATTTTTACGTCAGACGTATAAGATTTTTATGTCAGAGCTACAAGATTTTTACGTCAGACGTACCAGATTTTTACGTCAGAAGTACAAGATTTTTACGTTAGACGTACAAGATTTTTACGTCAGACGTACAAGATTTTTACGTCAAACGTACAAGCTTTTTAAGTCAGACGTACAAGATTTTTACGTCAGAAGTACAAGATTTTTACGTCAGACGTATAAGATTTTTGTCAGAGGTACAAGATTTTTACGTCAGACGTACAAGATTTTTACGTCAGAAGTACAAGATTTTTACGTCAGACGTACAAGATTTTTACGTTAGAGGTACAAGATTTTTACGTCAGACGTACAAGATTTTACGTCAGACGTATAAGATTTTTAAGTCAGAGGAACAAAATTTTTACGGCAGACGTACAAGATTTTTACGTCAGACGTATAAGATTTTTACAAGATTTTTACGTTAGACGTACAAAATTTTTACGTCAGACGTTCAAGATTTTTACGTCAGAATTGCCTGACCTTCTTTCTCGACGGTAGCGACCATTTTATGTGAAATAAAACTAACATTTTATTTTAATTCATCTAATTTTATTAACATCAGATAAACACATATTTTAATATAGATAGTAGCTCAAAAAAATAATTAATTAAAGCAAATTTAAGACTAAAAAACCCTTTATGTACCCATCTGTCTAAATTGCGTTACTAGTCATATCGAGTTTGTTTCGTAATATATAATAACTCTATATTGCAAAAAAATCAATCATCACATTCATTACATCACCAATCTATTGTTCCAAGTTCTTTCTTTCGGCAATCTCAGTTAATCTTTTTTTTTTGGTCATTAATTATACAGACTAATAGAATTTTTCTAAAAGTTCAATGTTAGCTCCTTACATACGACAGATCTAAAAATTAGATTAAAATTCCTTTTGTGTACATTTATTTATTTAAATATTATCCTCTTTTTGCTTCATATTTTAACTAGGTGAAATAAATATCTCAAAAAATTAAATTAAAAATACATAGATCAGTGCGTCTGCAAAATTAATCAATATATATATTTACAAAATACAAAGTAGATTGCGCAGATTATTACTGCGCAACAAGATACAATTTTTTTCTAAATGTTATATTATATTCTTTCTCTAGAATTTTTTATTATTACAAGGGGGACGAGAAATAGGAGATTTAGGCAAAATAAACATATTTTTTTTGTCTTTTCTGTTCTTATGTTCTAATTCAAGTGGAATCCTCGTTCTTTTGTTGCCGCCAGGAGGCGTTCCTTCAGGATTTCCTCTGTAGGGTATTCAGGTAGTTTCAGGTAGTGGACGCAGGTGTTGACCGAAGGGTAGGATCCTTCCCCAGCGTCCACTTTTCGTACGACGGTCAAGCGAGGGTAGAGATTGGCTAGACCGCCGGGTGGGAGGGAGCTACAGCCAGTGGTGAACTGGAGGAAGGCTTTGCGTTCTTCGGGGGTCATGTCAACTAAAACGTTGACAAACCTCTGGAATCCCGGACTGAAATTAAGAAAAAGACGTTTTCACAATGATTTGAAAAAAATTCTCAGAATACCAAAATTCACTCTGTTTATTTTATACTGTTTTTTTTATTTGAGTTAAAAAACCAATCACTTAGAATAATTTTAAAACAATCACAACACGATTAATTTTTTGTTTTTATAGGCTACTATACCGGGTGCGTTTCAAAAGTGAAATTTGTTAATATTAGTATATGACATAAATTAGGATCGATTGCAGTATTCAATATTATTGTTTTCAGTCACTTCCTGTTTCACCGGAAATTATTACAACTTTTGATTTTTAAATAGCACCCCTCGGTAGGTTTTTACATTATTCAATATATAAAATGACGCTCTGAATAGAACGACATATCACATGTCAACTTGTGACATTTTCACCTACAAAAAAATCGTATTTTAAATTTCAATCTAGAGTGCTATTGCTGTGTTAAAAACACTAATAGGGAATGCAATCCCGCACCAAAATCTCAATCCCGCAAACCCGCAGGATTAAAGCAATCAATCCCGCGGATCCGCAAAATTGCGGGACTGTAAACAATCAGTCAGTCAGTCATACATTTGGTCCTAAATGGTACAAAAGGCATTGTACATTTTGCATAGGCCCACAATATATTGATATAGCGTGTATCTTAAACTAGCTGTACAGAAATTTGGACCGATGTATACAGGGTGCTCAAAAAATATATTTAATATTAAATAAACTTAAATTTTATTATAATTCATCTACTTATTTTATAAATAAAAATATTATTCTGATGTTGAAGTTTTTTTTAACTTGCGTTAGTTATCTGCTTTTAGATACACTCTATATCAATATAATTTTTTGCATATGCAAGCTTTTTATACCATTTAGGACCAGACATATGACTAAAAATGCTTATTTTTCGAAAAAACGTCGTATTAAAACAAAAAAAAATTAAAAAACCGATCAAATTGTTTTTTCTAATTTTACTACAGATTAGTTGTACTTGGTAAAAATGTCGATTTTTTAAAAATTGTAAATTTGCGGTAAAAAAGATTCTTGACCAAATTTTCACTCTTATAAAACACCCTGTATACGAGAATTCGCAAAATATATTTTCGAAAACCACATAGCATCTTAATTACAATAGATGCATCTAAAACCTTGTCCAAACCGCATCCCAAAATCTTTTTTTGTTCAAGAGATATTCAACGTTAAATTTACCCTAAAATTTTGCTTGTCCCGATAATTATGTCCTGCAGTTTATTTGACGAAATTGCCCACAAGTACTAGTTAAACGCTTTTCTACACTTACGCACATACGCCAGAAAGAAATCTAAGAACTAACCTGTTTGTTTCACTTATTTTTAATGGCCAAGCCGTAAGGGAACCCAGCCGTAACCGAGAGCCGACGCATCCGCCCGGAACGAAGCGGTTTGATCTTGATGGAGATCGATTCGGTTATCAAGTAGTAATGTGTCGATCCCGCAGATCCCGCACGGTAAATCCCGCAACTTTGATCCCGCGGAATCTGAGAGGGATCCCGCATTTGCGGGATTGCATTCCCTAAACACTAATTTTGAATCAAGGAACATTGGAAAAATAGATTTGATCATCTAATGTTTTTCGTGTCTTGTCCATTGGCCGTTTAAAAGATGCACAAATCGTTTTTAATCATATCAATTTTTTCAAATTGAACTATTGTTCCTTATATACACTCTATAACTATTGTGGCTCATTAGCATATTTGGAAAAAAACTTTTTTTACAAATAATTTGGTACAACACACTTGGTATTTCAAGTCAAATTGTCGTTATGAACTGCATGTTACAATTTCAAATAAACCATATGAGAAAATGTCGAAAATTGACATACGATATGTCATTCTATTGAATAAAGTAAAAAATAACGAGGTTTAAAAAACAAAAGTTGTAGTAATTTCCGGTGAAACAGGAAGCGCCTAAAAACAATTGAATAAGTAAATCAATCCTAATTTATGTCATATACTAACCAACATACCAAATCTAATTTTTTTATCAGAAAAAAAGTTATAGAGGTGAGATACTTTTGAGACGACCCGGTATAAAAGATAGTAAAAATGTAAACAAATCGTGTGTTTATTTTGACTTTGAGATAATAAAGAAGCATTTTTTAATTTTTTTTATGATTATAGGGGAAAATTTTTTAATAGTCTAGTAGTAGGACACTAACTACAGTATGTCCCTGGACTGTCTTTACAAGAGGAAAAACTTTTTTATTATTGACATTTTGAGAAAAATTCATTCTTCATAAAAAAAAATTTGCTTGTCCTAAAATGGTTAATCCCGTTTAAATTTTTCCAAATTTCCATACCGTTTTACAGAAAATTAAAAAAACAGGAAAATCTAGTTGAATTTTTTCCTAATACTACAAGTCAAAACGCGTTTCTATGGAATTATAATTTCTTTTTCATTCTCTGATAGATTATCATTGACAGAATTATAATTAACGTCATATTTTTTGCTGTTTTAAATTGTTAAGAAGCACAAAATTTATTTAGTTCAATGCTACAGAAAAGGTGATAATAGTTATCAGAAAATGTAATACTTTAACAACATTACAAAATATGACGTTAATGAAAATTAATTATAACGATCTATCAAGGAATGAAATCGAAATTATATTACCATAGAAACGCCTTTTAATTTTTAGGACTTCAACCATATCTAAATGTTTTTCTTAATTTTCTCTAAAACGGTATGAAAATTTGGAAAAGTACAAAGGGATTAACCATTTTAGAACCAGCAAAAATGTTTATGAAAAATGCATTTTTCTCAAAATGTCAATAATAAAAAAGCTTTTGCTCTTGTGAAAACAATCTGGGGACATACTGTAGAGTCTGTCCAAAATGAAACTTTATCTCACCTCTCTTTGGTGTACCCCAACTTCGGATCCGTATAATTTAACAGATCCTCCTTAGTCCATTCGGGATTTTGGTTTCCACACAACATCACAGCCACCTCGTCCGGACTGAACGCCGCTAACTTCTCCATCGGAAACACCTCACTAAAACCCCTATGGAACGCCTCCAATTGCCGGGAGATACCCCGCTCCAAACAGAAGTTCGTGGTCAGCTCCGCATACTCCTCGATGTTCTCAATGCTCACTTCGATGTCTGCACCATTTGGAACCAGGTTGACACTTTGGAAACCGTAGACTTCCGAACTGGGCAGGTAGGTGAATGATAACGCTAAATCCTCAAGCGATACAGGTCCAGAAGTGTGTTGCAAGGAGAGGTTTTGGATTTGGTGTGACTTAGTTTCAGGCGAGAGTGTATGATCTTGCATGATCTTCTGCTTCTGTTTGACCAGTTCGCGAATTTGCTTCAAGAATGTCGCTCTTACGGGATCAATTTCATACAAATCTTCTTCGTTCAGAATACTACTGTACCAAGGTTTCTTCTCCTCTATTACTAGCTTCGGTGGATCGAATTCTAGCTCTTTTTCGCTCTCTTCTGAAATGTAACTTGAGGTCATTACGTCTTCTTCTGTAGTTTTCTTTACTCCAGCCAATCCGATTCTTTCGTTGACTGTGTTTTGGATTTCTCCGTGACACATTAGCTTTAGAAAACTTTTACTCAAGGGGAGATCTACTAAGCGGTTGTCTTGGAGTACTTTGGCCAAAAATACTCCTAGGAACCAGAAATATCTTACAACCTGAAAAAATAATGTAACTAAAATAATGTTCTCCAAAAAAATCCTATATGGGTATTTCGCCACTGCAAGAAAATCTACAAAATAATATAGTTATTTTTGTAAACACTGCTGCGTTAATCCAACGGAAACTACTTGTCAGCAGTTAAGTTTACTAAACGCAGTTAAATTTATATAACGAACAAAAAACAATGCTTAATGTTACGGAAAGTTTATCTCTTTCCGTCGTCGCAAACAAAAACCATTTAAAATATTTAAATGCAACTATTCGAGAATATTTTAGTTTTTTTTAAACTGATACGTCTACAAAAACCGTTGACGTTCTTTTAAAATTAAAGAAAACAAGTTCTGATTTTAATAGAACGTCAACGATTTTGTAGATTCTTTGTATTTTTTTTTGCTTCCGAAGCACGACGGAAAGAGATAAACTTTCCAAAACGTTAAGCATTTTTTTGTTCGTTAGGCAAATTTGTTTATCAGTAAACCTAACTGCTGAAAAGTAGCCTCCGTTGGATTAACGCAGCAGTGTTTACAAAAAATAACTATTTTATTTTGTAGATTTTCTTGCAATGGAGAAATACCCATATAGGATTTTTTTGGAGATGAATCCGCCACATAGGTATAGACATTTTTTACAAACATACCTACTTGAAATTAATAAAATTGAAACGCGCTCAATAACTAATTTCGGAACGTACTTAAAATGTTATAAACAATACGAATTGACCTCAAAATCGTTAACAATCGTCTAGATAGACTATATTAGAAAATAACTACATTATTCTCCTACCTTATCACATATGGGCGAGATTTGAGCAAGAGGCGCCGGGAACAGCCCAGAACTCCTCCTCACATAGTACCCCGGCGGTTTCATCCCCTCTCCCAAATCAATGGTCTCGTTGTTCAGCTCGTCATCACAGATCCACATCCCCAAATCCCTCCTCTGCACTTCCGCAGCCACCAGCGCATAAAACTCCAGGGTAGGTCCCAACCCCGTACCCTCCTCTCCCGCAAACTCCACCTCCAGGATGGACTTGCGACCGGAATGGACTTTCATCACTTGCACCGCCCAATCAAGCAAGTATTCGCTTCTAGGGACTTTCACCCTTTCGTGCTTGAGCCTACCCACGCGAAATTCGTGCGGATCGTCTCTGCGCGGCGACAGGCCAGGCGTGCGCTGTCGCTCCACCGTGACGTCCCGCTGCGCCTGGAGCCAGACGATGCTGCGCGACGCACCGAACGCCGTGCAGTTGAAGTACAGCTGGCGCGTCTCGAAGGGAAACAGGAAGGGGCAAGAGTGGTTCAGTTCTTCACACCAGGCGGGCAGGCTCGAGCTGGATAGGACCAGAGGATCTTGGATTTGCTGCGAAATAAATGCTTAAAGTTGGTCTCAAAATTCAAGATAAAAGTATATTTCTTTCTCTTTCTCAAATAGATTATAAGACTATATTGCTAGTACCGCATATACACAATGATTAGAAAATGAAGCCAAAGAAAATAAATAAGAATATCAATCTTGCACACGTCTATCCTTTTCGTTCAACAGGATTTTCGTGCGCACGCGCCATATAAAACGATCTGATTCGTCTACTTCATCGCTGAACGCTGTGATCTGCCCACGCACTATTTTAAATTCTAAATATTAATAACCTATAATATATGGCATTATTTCAACCTGTTATTTTAGATATTCATCACATCTATCCGTTTCTTGTTTTTGTTTAAATATGTCAGAGATTAAATTTAAATTTCGTGCTATTGCTGCCAAAAGTCACTAACTAACATTTTTCCGAACAACCAAATTCAATCACTAACTATGTTTTGAATCGGAGAATCGATTTATCGAATCGATTAGACGCATTTTTCTCGGAAGTAATAAAAAGTAAGTTAGTGACTTTTGGCAGCAATGGGACGATTTACAAGTAAAGTCGCGAACAGTCATACGCTAAATTGATTTACGTGGTAGATAGAAACGTAGAAAACTACTTCTATTAGTTAGTATGAAATAAATCAACTAATCGCGAAGCAGTTCTCACGCTTGCTAGTTCAAAGCTGTTAGGTTAGGTTAGGAACGAAAAGTACCGACTATAGGAAAATTGGAATAACTTCCGTTGAACGTCATCAATGACACCATGCGTCGTCTTATGGAGTTTGCTGGTGGTCGTATTATGATGTGCAACCAAAGTTATTTTAATTTCCCTATATGTGGATTTTGTACAGCTCCATCTCAAAAATTTAGCTTCAATTTCTGTTCCTTACGAACAATATAGTCTTATAATAGATTTGCTCTTTCTCATAAGAAGAGCGTAGCAAATGTGTTTTCCACCCATTACTGACCTGCAACAATTTATTTGTAATCTTTTTGCTGGAATACAGTTCATGCGGAAGTTCCGCGTAGTCTAACGCGTTGAGATCCAGTTGTTTACTCTTCGACGTTGTGATGACGAACAAGTGCCTTAACAACTGCAAGACGTCCTCCACCGTGCAGCTGGACACTGAAGGAGTTCCAGGAACGGGAGTTGAGGGTGAAAGAGAGTTACCAGCGACGGAGCTGGCACCACTGCGCGAAAACTGACTAGCGATCGGCGTGGCTCTGCCTTCTTCCGTTTCATTTTGGCTATCGTCCTTGATTTCTCTATAGACGATCCTAGATATTTTCGTAAGGGAAAAAGATGTTAAAGAGTTATGCTAGTTTTGTTTTAGGTTAAACTAATAAACGTTAATGTTTAAAATTAAGTAAAAATTATATTTCTAAAAAAACAATCAAATTTATTTAATTATTTAATAATACAAATAATAAAGACTGTTCATCCATCATTCACAGTTACGTCATCATTATATGTCAAATATGAGTTTTAGGGTATGTCTGAGATCAGTTCATATTGTTTAGAAAATTTAAGTATGTTCCTATATTATTGATTGAGCGAGTTCCGTTTTTTTTTCGGTGTTTATTAATTTTTTCTTGAACTCTTCATCAGTTATGATTCCTTTAATTCCAATCCTTTGAACTGTTGAAATTCCTATTTCTAAAGCATCAGCAACTCGCTATATTATTTTAAAACGCTATCAATTTGTATTTTACATAGGAATATTACACCTTTGCTTTGTATTTACTTCATATACGGCGTCCACACAAGAAGTGTTCTACCAGCGTCCCTTTCTCGAGAAAAATAATGTATAAGCTTAGCAATGAGCTCTTATTCATTTTAGGTTAAATATTTGAGGCATTTTTGCAATAAAAAAATTTGAATTTTGTTTTACAGCAACAATCAAATTTTAATTTTGATATTGATCGATGTCTCCGTCAATAAAATTATAACACCAAATCAAATGACAATTACTAAAAAGAATATGCAGTAATTTACGAAATGCCGTAATGACGTCACCAGTCTCCCTCATCTGGTAGTCAAGTGATTGAGAGAGTTTGACAATATATGACATGACTTTGAGTGATGGCTGAACATTCTATAATTATTTTTGAAGTCTCTTCCAAGATTCGTCATAATCTTATTGTAATTCAAGTTCCGACACAATATCTTTAGATTTATAATACTGTCAAAAATACAAATTTGTCGACGAAGAGTAACGATTCCGTTTAGTTTTTTTTTAGTATTTATTGAAAAACAGCTGTAAACTAAACATTCTACTGAATTTACAGACATGAGAAACTCTCTAAATGATACTTACATGTAAGTCGGTTCCCACAGCCTCTTCAATTTCTCCTGTTTGGACGAGAACTCTGCCAACTGCATCAGTTCCTGCACAGCCCTGAATATCGTCCAAGACGGATTGTTCAGCTCAATCTCGACATCGTTGATGCCGGGCATACTGGGACCCTTCAGCACCAGTTGCAACTTGGGCTGCGGCAAGAGCTCATGCTCAGAGGCGGCGGGAGTCCCTTCGTAGCCCGGCGGAGGTATTTCTAGGTCGCTGGTTTGGTTTATGTTCGTACGACCGGGTCTGGGGTCGAAAGCCGGAATGAGAGCGCTGAACTGACGTTTGAGAACGTACTCGTCGTCCCAGGAACGACGCTTCGTGTTCTGTAACGGGTCGAAGCCTTCTTCCTCCATGAAGCTCAACAGATTTCGCGATACCATAACCTAATATATTAAATTATAATTGTAGAACCCATAAATAAATGTTAGATGGCATTTAGAACCTCGAAATGTATCAAAATTAATAATTTAGAATACAGAAATGATTGTGGATGGATTAAGTTAAAATTATCACAATGATGCATCATCACTGGAACTAAAATGATTTGCAAATGAGGGGTTGAGAAGTGAACTGGATCATGTCCTAAAAGATAATTATGGAGAAAATGAGAGTTAAAGTTTTTATATGTTACTTAATTAAAATTAAACAAGCTGGTGAAGAAAACTTGACACAGTGCTTTATTATATTTTTTTCCATAGCAACTGTTAAAATTGCCTTATATCTATCAAAAATAGTAGATAAAATAGTACTTTCGCAAGGGTTTTAACAGCGAGGGTAAGTTAAAAACTTCTCGTACGTTTTTTAATTGCTTCCATTTTTAAAATTTTTGTATTCCTTTTAAAAATCTCTTAAAATAGTAGGAAATTGGACTTGATCCATTTTAATTCTGACCACTTCAAACATCAAATCAGTTTAAGTTAAATTAAAAATCTGCAAGAAAATTACCTCCTCATAATCAGCATCATCTTCGTTTTCGTCGTCATCGTTATCATCTTCATTTTCACCCATTTCGTCATCATCATCTAATTCAGCTAGTAAAGTGGGCGCTTTGCAAGACTCGAGAAAATCTTCTAGTGACACTTGCTCGCTGTCGCTACTCGTCGACGTTAAGCTCATGGTTAATGCTTGGCTTAAGCCTTGCACTGCACCTTTAAATAACCAAACATATCCACTTTTAAACTATACTAAAATACAATAACCAACGCGACGATAGAGGCCTAATACGAGAATGTATTACGACACGAAAGTAGATACTAAGGGGGTTCGGTTAACATTTTACGTCTTAAAAGTTTGCATGACAAGAACTATAATAATTAGCCTCTATTTTCACGAAGGTAACGGAAAAACTTATCTACACGTTATGCTATCAACAAAATAACCAAAATTTAGTGTTACCTGCCGCTGCAGAGATTCCTACTTGAGCGTTACCAGCATTGTTGCTTGAAGATAAGCTAGGATAGCTCTGAGCAGTACTCAGCAGTCCGCTAGGGAAGTTGCTAGACAAAGCCAATCTAACCAAACTCGAGACTGAATTAGGTGCTCTGGGGAACAACGAGCTGTTATTTTGATTATTCTGGGAGTTAGTGCTGGCCACTTGGGCGTTGTTAGCTACGGAGCTGAGAGCTGAGTTGGTAGCTGAGCTGGACGAACCCGATTGCCTCCTGCGAGCCAGCGCTGCAAAGGTCTCTAACAATCCTGCGAAGTTCAATACTATAATTGAGTTGGTATGGTTGAGGATTTGTGAGGAAAAGGAGTAGTTGTGGAACGAATTGTTAGTTTGAACTGGTTGGTTAGTGTTCAAACATATAATCAACTAGACACGCTAGGGAGTTATGTGAACATATACTAATATTATGTAAAGCGTATCGCTCCGAATATTTTCGAAAGTATCTGGTTTTTGTAATTTTCAAATAAATTAAAAAAAAGGTTCATTCAATTTATCCTAAGTGACTGAGTCGTCAGTAATGATTTACGTTAACCACAAGAAATAACTGCTAGTCAATTATATAGTCTAAGATTTAGTTTGAAAAAAAAAATATAAAACAAATTACAATTACCTGCGGTAGTGGTAGTTTCCATCTGGCTATTGGCCTCAGTACTGGTCAAATTTGGTACACTAACACTCATAGGGTTGGTTACGACTATAGTTCCGCTATTTTTAGCGTTGTTAGTGTTATTAATAGCTTCCTCGTTGTCGCTACTCGAAAACAACTCTTTACTTGTACTGCTTTCTCCAACGTCATCTTTCCTTCTCACAGCCTTCTCATCGTCTATTTCTGAGTTCGAAGATACCGATATCCTCACCGTATTCCCAGCTAAACTTGACAGATTGTTGATGGTTTGTTGATTGGACTGTGTCAAGTTTAACGCAGACTGTAACAGTTCAGCCGACAGGAAATTATTTGTGTTGTTCCTCAACATATCTGATCCTTCTCTAATTTTATCCAAAGCTTCAACAGCATCAACAAAACTCTGAGCGGCAGCTGCAGCAGAGACATTACTCAACCTCGAGGAGCGGTTGGATTTACCATTGGATGCTTTCTGAGTATCAATAGGCTCCTCACTCGTTTGTCTTTTAGCGGTTGAAGGTTTTGTTGAGTCTGATAAGGTTAAGCTTTCTACAATCGTAGCTAAATCACTGCTATTGTTGATCGCAGATAGGTCATGGTGTGGGTCTCTTAAAGGATGAACTACTACCGACAGTTCGCTGTCAGTACTGGCTGCTTGGGACTCCGAAGTCACTGCAACTAAAGCTTCGTTTCTAGCCACAGATAACACACTCTCAGCTATAGTTTCTGCAGCTTGTTTAGCAGCTAGATTGTCAGCTGAAGCTGCCTGTTCAGTGGAAGCTACAGATGTCTTTATAGTGTCGGTGGCTTCGGGTAAGCTAGGCGTTGAACTGCTTTTTCTGCTTGTTAGAACGCTCTGTTTGTCGTCTTTGTTCTTGTGTTTGTTGGTAGAGACTGGTTTGGAGGAGGACGCCGACTCTACGTCATAGCCTGGAGCGAGTTTAAGGTCGTACTTGCCTTCAGCGCCCATGCGGTATGAGTTGGAACCTCCATGATCCCACGTGACGTCAATCCAGCCGGAATGAAGCTCGCCAGTGACGGTACCTGTATGAGAAAAATAATCTTCTACAGAACGGTCCCGTTATTAAGCCAAAACCACAAAGTTACCACGAGAAATAACAAAAAATGCTCATGTTTATAGCGAATAAAATATAACAAATATTATGTATTTGTATGAATAAATAAGTTACTAACCTTCTCCTGGTGGGTTGCCATCTTGGTCCCGCCATTTCCAGTCAACACCTCTCACAACCCTAGCTCCTACAGTCATATACTTAAGTAGCTGAGTCTTAACCAGCCTTCTTTGCTTCCTCAACTGAGCTTCTTGTTCTTTATGAGCCTTGCCCATATCTTCACATATTCCAGTTACTTGACCATAGATCTCGAATCCGGATAAGCTAAGATAATGAGTTTGGCCCGATGCGTTTTTTCCAGCTTGCTGAATTCTTACGTGCCTCCAACCTACAATATTTATATTATATGTCGAAGCGATGAATCGGTTTTGGGTTTTCAAAATTCAATTTGACAACACTACAGTTGTTTATTAAGTTAAGGCATTGGGATTTTTGCTTTGTTTACATTCATAAGATTCATCTTATAGCTTCATTCAGAATATCGAAATCAGTGAAATAAATTACTATGTAGTTTCAATTAGCCGTAGAAGTTTGTTCACCTAATTTTAATGTAAGCATTCAGAACGTTATAATTAGTGGTAGTAATTTTCAATTAGCGGAAAAAGTTAACAAACTTGACTTTGCCACTAATTATACTTCAAAATTTGCGAGGAATGTCATTTTGGCCAATGATTATCACCCGTCAAGAAAAAGTTTGGTTAGAAATCAAAAGTTTATTGTTTTATAAGCTAAATATTATGTTTTCTCTATGGATACAACAGACTAGGATATTTTATTAATTGTAATTGTGTTTTTTAGACATTATGAATGATTCTAAACTAAAAAGTAAGTGTAATTGAAACCAATAATTTATTCCACTAATTGGGAGGTTCTGAATGAGGCTTATGTGTTTTTATTGTAAAAAATCTCTGCTTGGACGCAGTGATACTTTTCAAAAAAGTAATGTAAAAAAATATAAAAGGTTATAAATTAGAAGTACACTAGAACTCGGTTATAACGAACTTGAAGCGACCAAAACATTTGTTCGCTATTGCCGAGTGATCGTTATATCCAGTTTTTTGTTAATTTGTATTTTCTTTAAATAAAAAACTACATACGTATTAAACATCATAAAAAAACTGTATTTCAAAAATGTATACATATGTGCTACATAAGTATGTACAGGGTGGGCCAAATTCGACGCTTTTAAATGGAAACACACTTTTCTATTATAGGAGATAGACATAAACTAATATCGGTGTCTGGAGCTCAATTTTTGTCAAAAATATGATGGTGAAAACCGCATATCGATATCTGTTACCGTTTCGGAGTTACGGGGTGTTTTTCAAAAATATGCATTTTTAACAAATCGCTGTAACTTTTTTGCTATGGAAAATTTTGTATTTTTATTAAAACATTTCCAAAGCACCTTTTTACGTAGAATTTAATGGTTTAAGTATAATCTTTTTAAGATTAATAATTTAAGAATTATCAACAGAAAATTTGAATTTTTATATGGGACACCCTGTATATTTTTAATTTATTGGAAATAATTTAAAATTACCTTTCCAAAAATATAACACACTTGATACTTTGCTCGATTCCTCTTTGAGATATAGAGTATATAAGAATTCGCCCGCTTTCAATAAGTAGGCTTTGAACGGCACCGGCTGTAATGCAAAAAAATTCTAACTGTGAGCATCAGTTAAAACGAAAATAATATTTGCTATGAGAGATGCAGAATTCTATAACAATTTAAAATATATTTAACCAACATCAACACATTTAAACTATATCTAATAACAATAAAAATAAATAGCAAACCAAGACATGAGATTTTGCTACAGGTGTTCGACATATCGAGCGTCTTCTGTTATGGACAGACGGGGAAGTTTTTGAACATTTCTCGCGGAATTCATTAACTCAGTGGGGGTGAAAGATACCCTCTCATAACTGCTGAGTATTTCTAATTCTTGTCTAGATTATACGGAAGAATAAGGAATCTTTATTCTTCCGCAAATATATATCCATAGGATTAGATCCATGGGCACTAAGTCAGGCGGCCTCGACGGCCAACGGCTGGGATCTTGGTTAGCTATTCAATTATCCTTGAAATTGGTTGCAAAAATTTGCTGATAACTTCAGCGTTCTGGGGCTGGAAAAATATTAAAACTTCTGTATTTCGAAGGGGATTATAACAAAATATCAAGTGTGCTATATTTTTGGAAAGGTAATTTTAAATTCTTTTCAATTAATTAAAAATATAGAGGGTGTATCAAATAAAAAAATCAATTTTTCTGTTGATAACTCTTAAATTATTAATTTTAAAAAAATTATACTTAAACCATTAAATTCTACGTAAAAAGGTGATTTGGAAATGTTTTCGTAAAAATACAAAATTTTCCATAGCAAAAAAGTTACAGCGATTTGTTAAAAATGCACATTTTTGAAAAACACCCCGTAAGTCGGAAACGGTAACAGATATTGATGTGCGGTTTTCACCATCATATTTTTGATGAAAATTGAGCTCCAGACACCGATTTTACTTTTCGTCTATCTCCTATAGAAAAGGATGTTTCCATTTAAAAGCGTCGAATTTGACCCAATCTGTACATATATTAAAAAAATACGGGAAAATACATATCTGTATGAAGTTATACATGGAAGTATTCATAATGCGGAAAACAAAAATTGAGCCAGTAATAGGATTATTTTGGCTTCTTTGAATGGTAAACCATTTAAATAATGCCTGATCCATGTCAGCTCTTAACGGTTTTCAGAATCTTTTTAGTTTTGCAACAGTAACATTGCAAGATGAGGGTTTATCTTTATTTTTAAAAATTGTGGAAATGGTAGATTTTGGTAACCTATATTTTTTGCACACATCTGAGTTAGGCATTCCCACTTCTAGATCACTAATTATGCTTAGTTTTTGTTTTATTGTTAACACATTACGTTTTTTTGCCTCCATTTTACACGAATTTTACACTTTATGCAAACGTTTATTATATTATGCACTACCAAACACCAACGACTTAAACGTCCGAAATTCGTTTAATCACTAAAATTGACTACGATTAATTACTGCTACGCGATTGGCCAGGACAGGAAAACATATGCATATTTGTTCGCTATAACCGATCCGACCTGCGATTTTTCCCGATAAAAGAGTTCGTTTAAACCGATCGTACGTTATAAATGTGTTCGTTATATCCAGCCATAAAAAGCACGTATTTATATGAAAAGATAATTTGTACTTTATCAATTGTTCGTTAAAACCAAGCGTTCGTTATAACCCGGGTTCGCTATAACCGAGTTCTACTGTACTTAATTTTCTCAATTATTTCATGTTTAAAAAATAAATCCCCTTATCAGTGTTTTTTACTTATCTACGAAATATATTTGATGTATTGGTATTTTGTGATGTTTTATGATTATTATGTTTACGCGCACTTTCTTAACTATACAGTATGTCCCTAGATTATCTTTACAAGAGGAAAAACTTTTTTATTTTTAACATTTTGAGAAAAATCAATTCTTCCTAAAAAATTTTCTTGTTCTAAAATGGGTAATCCCGTTTATACTTTCCCAAATTTCTGTACCGTTTTAGAGAAAATTAAAAAAACATGAAAATTACTAAAGAAAAAAAAATGTTGAAAAAAAGCTAACCTAACCTAACCTAACATTTTTTTCTTTAGTAATTTGTTACAACAGTCAAAGTTCTACAAAATTAAACTTACCTTGTTGTTCATCTGATGGAACTTCCAAAGGCCACGTTGCTGTTGATCCCGGATCATTCAGTGAAGTATCATGAGTGTGAGTGCTCAAAGTCGTCCACAAAGCTCCATCTTTAGACATCTGGAAGTACCAATTCCTCAGAGCCGATCTTCCATAACCTCTTGCATGCCTCAGCGTATAGGCGCTTGGAATTATAAACAAGCCAAGGTCCACGCTGAACCAAGACCTCTTGTCGTCGTTCGTGTGACAGTTTAGAGCTGAACTGTCACGCGATAAGATGTCTTCCAGTCTGCCATAAGGTAAATTCCTGCCGTCTGAACTGCTGACATTTACTAGACCATATTGAGCGGGATTCACCCATTCGCCACTTGTTTTACCGTTGGTCCCGATAAAATAGATTATGCCATTTTCATCAAAGTCATGATGGTGCTTAAAGTTCTGATATTTTGGTTCCTTGAGCTTTTTCAGAAATTGATATGTCATACGGTCAAAGTCGTACCACTGTTTAGCCACCATTTTCAAAAGGTATCGTTCTAGTTGCGCTACTGTAGCGAGAGGTTCCATTTTGAGACCCCTTCCCGTTCTGTCAATCAGCGTACTGTCGCCCTGGGCTTTTTCTAGTCTGAATCTCAGTCGTCTGGTGAGTACTTGCAGGCCATAACCTGAACCAGGAGTGTCGTATAGGTAAACAGGTAGTTTTTCGATGCTTTCGAGAACTGCGATTAGTTTTTGAACGAGAATAGTCATGGAATTGCTTTCCTCCGATTGGTTTTTGAAACAATCCTTGAAAACTAGGATGCGTTGTTTTTGGTATTTGCTAACCTTGCTGGACTTCAGACCTGTCAAAAAAAGATCGTATATGTTTCAGAAAAATGGAAAAAGTTTTGAATATTGAATAAAATATACTAAGGAAAGGAATATCAAAAAAATCTGAAGAGACCTTAATGCACAATTAACTATTTCTGAAGTTTATTTTGAAGATTTACAATTATTTCATTGTAATTGAAATGGTAACAAAATGTATTTCCAACATGAAATTATACAAAATAACAAAAAAAAAGCACAAAGAAGACAAAGAATATTTTTAAAAGAACGTCCAAGAATGTTTGACTCATTTCTTAGTTTATTTATTCAATAGTTTTGGTGAATATCTTACCTTGATCCCAGTAGCTAGTTGATAATAAGTTTAACAGAGCCTGGACCTAACAAAATAAAAAAAAAACAAAGATATAGATGATTTCAGTGCGGTAATACTAAAATTTTACTAGAATTATTGTAGTAAAAAAAATAAAAATACTAGTTAAAAGTTCGTTGGCCATACGTTATTGCACAAAACTTTATTTCTATGAATAAGACATGGATTTTTCTATGTATTTCTTTCTAGAACAAGTTTAACATGTAAACTTATCTTTTTCTATGTGTGAGCTATCTCAGCTTGCGCAAAACAGGATATTCTACATGAATCCCAACTGAGAGAGGTTTTTTATATTCTTTGAATATACTTTAAAAATGCTTAATGGAACGAAATATGCTGGGAATAACTAAGAGAGACCGTAAAATATTAGAGTGGATGCAAAAAAAGACCCAGGTAATAGATGTCATCCAGAGTCAAATGCCTCAAATGGAAGAAGAATGGACAACAGATTGACCACAAAAATTACAGCATGGTATCCACGAGGAATTAAGAGACCTAGATGAAGACCGAACCTGAGATGGGACCATAATATTAGAAAATTAGCAGAGATAACTTGGGCCTACATTCCTACATAGCCAACAATAGACAACAATGGACCCAACTACAAAGATAGTATCTAAATATGTGAGGGAGGCTATACCATAATTGGAAATGGTTGAATAAGCTGAAAATGATGATGAATGATGATACTTTAAATATAAATTTTAAATAAAAATAAAATCACGAAATGTTAATTTGTGCTTTAAAAATGTTTTTAAACACTACTTGGAAAAACAGCTACCATGAATTGGCAACATTAAAATATCTTTGATATTGGAAACTTTAATAACTGGAATTAACCTCAATTTTTCTAACTATTAAATATCCATTATAATATGTATGAAACAAGAATGAAGAGACTTTACTTAAAATACATTAACCTTTAGCGAGCTAAGGATAGAAAACGAATGTATCACTGTGATAAATTCGTCCAATTCTTCTAACAATGTTATTTTATAAATACTATTAAAAATGAGAGAATTTTGATTCTTACCAATCCAGAACTGTGTAGTTCATAAGCACTGACAACACCGTCTTCCTTGAGGATTTGAGTTAAATCGTCCAAAGCCTTGATCAAGATCTCCCTCCAAGAATTACCGCCCTCCCTGTTGTTCCCGTAAGAGCACTGCTTCTGGCAGGCCCGTTCGATCTGGGCCACAATGTTGCCCAGTTTGGCAACGACGCCTCTGGGTTGGGCTTGAGCGGCCCTAAAGTATTGCTCGTAGATCTGGTGAGCGAGGTATTTCACTTTCATTTTGGTCGCTTCAGTTTTCGAGCGAATTTTCTTGCCACGTTTGATGGTCCAACCGGCAGAAAATTCAGTTCCTGTTAGAGATGGAAAAAGTAAAAACAGATTTATAAAAACTAGTGATCAGCAAATGCAAGACCAATACTCTCTTGGTCTTGCTAGTAGTTTTTTACTAGAGGCAGTTTCTACATAGAAATTCTTCAAATAAAGTGTATTTTAACGAATTTAATGCAAATGAAACTTATGAAAAGAAAAATATTTGTTGAAAATTTTTGTTTTTCAATATATACCCATGTGAATGTGATAAATTTTACATTGGTGAAACATCTAGACCCTTAAATGTTCGAATTAAAGATTATATAAGAAAGGGAGATTTTCACAAATCTAAGATTTGTCAGCATTCATGGGACCCAGAGCACAGAATAAATTTTAATAACGGCAAAATTATAATGAAAGAAGCGATAGCCTCTAAAAGAAATAAAAGAGGCTTTTTTAATACAATCTAATAAAAATAAATGTATTGCTCATGCATCTCTAGATGTTAGTAATGTATGGCAATCGCTTCTTTGATTTTTAAGAACATAACATACGTAAAAATTAAAAATAATCATACAGTAAGTTTGGGGCTTATTGATTTTACCTTATTAAGTAACTGTTATCAGGTAGTAATTGTTAATTTTGAAGTTTTAACTTGATATAAAGTCATTTTAACAGAACGTCAACGGTTTTTGTAGACGTATCTGTTTTAAAAAACTAAAGTGTTCTCGAATAGTTGAATTTAAATATTTTAAATAGTTTTTTCCCTTATTGCTTGCATTTTTTTTGCTTCCGACGACGGAAGAGGTAAGCTTTCCGAAACGTTAAGCATTTTTGTTCGTTAGGCAAATTTGTATATCTGTAAACCTAAGTTCTGACAAGTAGTTTCCGTTTGGATTAACGCAGAAGTGTTTACAAAAAATAACTATTTTATTTTGTAGATTTTCTTGCAGTGGCGAAAGATGCAAAAAAAACGCAACAGGTTACAAGGTTATAAAACTAAAATGCAAAAAATCTAAGGCATACCTAAACTGGTTTCAGCTATAAAAGAGTGCTTAGTGCCTCTATTCGATTCAAAAATGAACCCGGGCAAATCGTCCCTCAAAATGGTTGTCTGCTGTTGTCCATCGGAGTTGTGGATGTGGATTTCTGCGTCCTTTTTCGAAATGAGAGACCAGTTGCCCACTATTAAACGGGTGTGGCCGGGTCTGGACAAAATCGGGATGGAATTGTGGGTGATCCGTACCGCTGCCCTGGCTCGGAGGAGTTTTTCCAGAAATTCTCCACGGTTTTCTGAATCCACAAACGCATTTAGAACAATGTTTGTATATATAAACTAGTATGTGACCGTCGAATAAAAAGATTAACGAAGGAGTATAATACTATCCACGTATTCATACATGAGAGACGGAATTATAAAAATAATATATATAGAAATAATATGTTGACGGCTCAACTGACACATTTGAATTTGATTTGAAAATTTGCAGATTTGTTGTGCTTTTCTAAACTTATGTTATTTATTATTTATTCTACACTTGGTTCTGTTCAAAGGTAGTACATCTAGCAGGAAATTGTTTTTTCATATGCTCCTTCCTTAATCTTCTCATTCAAAGCATATCGCCTATGGGGTATTTCATAACCTTAAAAAATATTCTGCGACAGAGATTAAAAACGACATAGTAGGTACAGAATACAGAATGAAAAGAGTATGAGATTGATTCAAAGGGTTGAGATTTATTATGAGAGTGACAGTTAACCGTTTTAAGCTTCAAAATATTTATACAGGGCGTTCCATATAAGAAACCATGCTACTGGGATCTCAAAGAGTTACAAAGACGATTAGATTGGACTAAAGTTGCGCCATCCTGAACTCAACAACGCCGGTATTTCAAAATAAAAAAATTCGATTACTTTCGAAAATATTTGACGGAAAACCCCGAATTTTCACTATTTCCTTTTTATTCTTCACTGACTCTGAAAACATATGTCAATACATATTTCATATTCCCACCCCATTGCTACTTTTCCTGCTCTACAAGTTTAATTTTGTTGATGTGCGTCTTCCTTAGTCATTTTCTTCGAAGCATCAAAACAATTTCTAGGTTTATATGAGATACCCCGTATATAACATTGCGAATATTAAAATAAATAGTTACAAATGCGCATAAGATACTAATGCACAGCAAAACAAAAGGGATTACAGTAACTGTGATACAAAATGGATAATAGTTAACAAACTTATGCAAGCAAAAAAGAAAATATCAAACGCAGCATACATCGAATATATTCAATTTAATTTTAAGTCAAAAATAATTAATAATTAAAGAAAGAAGTAAGTCTAGAGTCATTCTAATTTTTCTTCCGTTTATTATACAGTCACTTAAATAAGTACAAGCATTTGGTAGTATATTTCAACCCCAGAAACAAGCCCTTAATTTTTTTTTGTCAAAAAAGTTAAACATTTTACATTTTTCAAGAAATTAAAAAAAAAACAGTGCCACAGATTATTTTTTTTTAAAGTTGCTGAAGGTGCATCGAGCTATGTATTGTTACCATCTCCCTACGTTGCTCGCATTCTACATATACAGGGTAAGTATTAAATAAGTGCAAATATTTTTAGGGGTAGTATAATTCCCATAAACACGATGAGTTTTTCGCGAAAAAAATTTTGGGATTTTTTTTTAATTTTTAGTTAAAAAATATAATTTCTTGGTAATATGGAAACATAGGTAGTAAATTAAATTTACAAGAAAGAAAACCCAGAAAAGATCCAGTGGTTCTCAAAATGCAAAGTTTCAATGTAAAGTAACTCGGTTATTTTGGACTTATTTGAAAAACGGCAAAGAGAAAATATGTTTCTTTTATAGAGATACTAGTGGATGGACGAGTGACGGGTTCGAAACTCTGTATCGTGCTGTGGTCAAAAAAAGGCAAAAGTGTAAAATCTATTGACACACACTGCTCATTCACGCCGGTTCGAGGCCGGATGAGATCGTATATCTCGTGAGTAAGAGTCGATTTAAACATTTGCCAAGTCGGTAGGCCATTGACCATGATATGGCCGAGGACCGCGGTTCGGATTCCGCGTAAACAAAAGTAGGCCCCGTCCAGATTAGCCCTGGCAGCAAAAAGGAGACGTTAACTGAAATCTTTACTTTTGGATCTACCAGTCCCAAAAATATTTGCACTCATTTAAGTACAGCAACCAGTTCTAATTCATAAAATAATGAATACCAAAAAAAAATCAAATTTGATAAAGATAGCATTATTGGACAAAAATAATTTACTATAAATGAGCTACTTATTTAGGAGGGTTCCCTATAATAAAATAAACAAAATAAAATAAAAAAAGCATCCCTTACCTTCGGTAGTGAGCGAGTCTGCTGTCCTTCCTTTGCCTATACCAAACAAAAATTAAACGTCACTTCTGTTACAGCACACATTTTTTTCAAAATTTATTATAAACAATTTAGTACGAACAAATACGAAGATTCGGGTATATCATGTCGATATATTAGTCAAAAAATTTGTAATAATAACAATTTTGTTTATTTTTTGTATTATTACAGTAATTTAATCTAAGATTATTGTAAGAAAAAAAAGCTATACTAGAACACGTTCTTATATTACTTTAACTTATAAAATTATTACTTTTGTAACGTTATATGATTCGACATCCAAAACCTACTAAAATGCCGTTTTTTTATATGGTTTGGTATATAAATCAAATAAATATAAAAACTTGTCCAGTACACAAATTTAACCACGTAGATTTCATTTAATAATTATTGTGCTACTTAGTTAAACGAAAATAAATTTTAAAACACCGGGTACACATAAGGTTTTACCTTACTTTTAGCGGTTAAATGCACATTTATTAACGTATAATTACAAAAAAGCAAAACTTACCACATCTACTTGGTTATTATTTATACTATTTGTGTAGATTGTATATTTTCTTTAGATTATATGCAACAAAAATAAAAAAAAACAAACCAAAAAAAAACAAGTTCGTAGATTATTATCTACTAAAACAATTTGTTAATTTTTATTTCATTATAAGTAAACCAGCATAAAAAGGCAAAAAAGGCATGCATACTTCTACTAAAACAGTTTTTATATAGACAAAAGAAATTTTTTCAATCACAAAAAATACATATATGTGATTTAAATTTAGAAAAATTATTACTGTGATTTTGTTATTAATTGTATGCCTTTGTATATGAAAAATAGCCATAAGACATTTTTAATTTGATTTTTGATTATTATTAGGACGGGATATTTTCTGCAAAAAAATTGTTTTAAAAAAAATCAAATTAAATTTTATATTCTGGGAGGTTAAAAAATTATATTTAAATTAATATCTGAAAAATATACCATCTGATCGAAAAAAAAAACGTCGTCATAGACAACTGGGAAATGACAATCGATGATAATTTTGGCGAGGTCAGTCTCTTTTCACATAATAAATACAAGAATTAAACAAAATCGATCTAACGGAAAATTGAGCCTACCTGAAGTATCGGCCCCGCCCTCAGGTGATCCGCTGGAGTACATCGTTGCCAGTTTTCCATCCAAGATGAACCGGAACCAGCCGTTGGATCCGTTCGACAGTTCCAACGCTGCCGCGTCGCTCCACAGATACAAGCAGTCTCTTCCTCTACAAATGGCCCAATCGCGCCAATGGTACGCTTTGCCGGGCAAAATTTCCTTGGCGTCTTCCAGCTGTTGTTGTTCTACGGTGTCTGTAGACATTAAAACGTATTTTTTAATATACAGGGTAACCTAGTATGTTAGTCCTATATATATATTACACTATATCGCTAGTCAGGAATAGAAATTGGAGCCAAATTTTTGAGATGGAGCTACACAAAACCCACATAAGTCGGTCCTTTTCGTTCAACAGCTTTGAACTACGCAAGCGTGAGAAGTGCTTCTCGATTAGTTGATTTATTTCAAACTAACCAACAGAAGTAGCTACTTATAAATTTAAATTTAAACTCTGACATATTTAAACAAAAACAAGAAACGGATAGATATGATCATGGCTGGGAAACTTAAATGGAAATGACAGTTCATTAAAAATAGTTTTTCCTCCAAGATGCAGAGGCGCAAAATATTAAAACTGTCAATATCAACAATGCAAATGTCAATATTTGACAATAATAAAATTTGATTTTTAACTGACACAAACACTCAGAGACGCTCTCAGACGCTCTTGTTGTGATTTTACGGTTTGATTTCGTTTTGATTTGTCGAATTATTGTAAAATTAAATTCCTTGAGATCTTTTGGCAGTGTTCTGTTTTAGACAATGTTTTTTAAAAATGGTGGGACAATTTGTGTTTTGTATAGACTCTTAGTTATTTTTTATCATGGTGTTTAATTGTTGTACACCGGCTTTCCGAAGTATACAATGGTAAGTAAATTAAATATATCTACTTTATTTACAGTTATAGATTTTTTAAATTAGTACTGCTAATAAATGCTACTTGCTGAGCAGTTATTTTTTTTTCAAGGTGCATGTACGGAATTAAGGACGCGCGTTGCGTTATATTAGCATGATCAGCAGATGATTAAATCTAATTTAATTTCTTTTTATTATTTCAGGTCTCAAACGGAAACAAACTGCGAATCTTGCCTACACCAAAATTATATAGCCGTTTCCAATTCACTTCAAAGAGAGGAAAATTATATAAAACTGCCTGCTATTTGCTTAAAACCGCCAAAGATTAAATTATAACTGTAACAACTTAATATATACTATTACTAGTCTTTTTAATATTTTTTAATTAATATCCGACATATAAGAACACTTTGTATGCTTTTAATTAAGTTGATTTATCGTTTATAATATGTTCGACCTAATTAAAAGCATCACAAAGTGTTCTTACATGTATGTCTAAATTTATTTTAAATTAAACTAAAACAACCCCCCTTCCCCGCACCCCTCTCTTCCATTAGTATTTCTTCCTCCGACTACCAGAGGCGCCCTTGTATAATAAAATTGAAATGTATTATAAGTTGCCTATCTATTTAACATTATAAGTCTTTTATCTATGGATATGATGAATATCTAAAATAACAGGATGAAATAATGCCATTACCAATAAAAAAATAATATATTATGCGTTATTAATATTTAGAGTTTAAAATAGTGCGCGGGCAGGTAACTGCGTTCAGCGATGAAGTAGGCGAATCAGATCGTTTTATTTGGCGCGTGCGCACGAAAATCCTGTTGAACCAAAAGGATAGACAAGATTGATATTCCTATTTCTTTTCTTCGGCTTCACTTTCCACTCATTGTGTAAATGCGGTACTAGCAATATATTCTTATAATATATTTGGTTAATCCCTAACCTTCTCTTGAAGTTTCTCCCTCGTCGTTCTCCTGGGGTTCGGGCGGAGTTGCCAACGCTTGCACTTTCGTAAATATACCCAATCGAGCGAAATGATCTAAAAACACCTTCTGAGCTTTGACCATTAGATCTTGGATAATGGCCAGCACAACTGAATGACCCTCTTCGTCCTCCTATAGGAAATTTTATAAAAATTAATTATAATTCTTTTGAATTGAAGTTCGAAAGAGCAAGCAAGTTATTAAATCGCGCAAAACAAGTAGCAGTATCAAACATAACAGTTGTAAGTATGTACCATAGATGTATAAAAAATAGACTAACCAATATACATTAATTTGTTTTGACCCCAAGATATTCAAACAAAATATAAACAAACCGTTTGTATATTACATAGATCATTTTGTCATAGGCGTAGTTTCAAGATCTTCCAGAAAAAGTGTTAAAAAACAAAGGGCTACTACCACCAAAATGATTTAGGAATCCCATAAAGAGTAGTTATGTGACCATGTTAACATAAAATATAATATATACAGAGAAAAATTCTGCATAACATAAATGTAAATTAGATCATACCAGTTATGTAATGAATAGTTCGCATTTTTCTCCGTCCTAAGTAGTAAAGGGTCATAGCGATTCACCCCTAGACATGTAAGCACTGAACCTATATAGACTTCGCTTGCCGATAGGTATGGGAACGGTTATGTTTTCATTTTTATTATAATTTCCACAAATATTTACAAAAAACGTATCACAATGTTCAAGCACAGATTTGTCACAAAAAGAGACGCAAAATAAAACTCAAGAATGTAAACATTATGAGTCATTTTATAATAAATATTGACACAGTAAAAAAAATTAAACATAAAATATCAATAGATAAAAATCAACAAATCTTTAAATAAATAAAGTATAAAGTATGTCCAACGACCCCGAGAAAATTTACGACATCCAACAATTTAATAAAATACTATAATAGTTATATTCAATATTCAAATACGATCTCCGTTAACATAGTTTTTAGTAAACAAGCGACAACCTAGCGTTTTCATGTTTACATCTAGTTTGTATATCTTGGGTAACTTTGTTTTGTCCAGTAAGGTTTGTCTATTTATATTTGTCTACGATTACAAACACTGAGTAACAAATAACAAACAAATGAAATTAGACAAACAAAAAAAACTAAAATGCTGCCATTCTCCAGATCACTGAGATTAGTTTACGCGCAATACACGAAGGCATGATAGGGGGCGTTATTATCGTTATATCATCCAGTTCAGTCAACCTAACCTTTCAGCATATTATAAATAGGCAACGTAAGCTGCAATGTTGGCAATGTTAATCAACAAATATTCAAAAAAGTGATACAGGGTGGATTAAAAAAACTGACCAAAGTGCCGTAAGGTATGACAACGCGTCGGTCGTGTAGGTAGGCCTTCATGGTACGCACGAATAGGGTGAGAGGTGCCGAAGTAGTCAGTACCGCAGTGGAAGGCATAGTGGTGGTACTGCGAGTAGAACCGCTAGGCCAGCAATAGCTAATCTGCAAGGACAACACCGTATATATCCAAAGAATTAAAAGTATAGGAACAATGTTGTATTGCGTTGTCTTGTAGATTGACAGATACTTAGCCAAAGAATGACAACATTTTAGCTTTGTAAAATTTCAAAAATACGTCATAATTTTTATTTAAAAAAATACTTTTTTGAATCAAAACTATATAAATACAGGTCAATTAAAATATAAAGCAAAAAAATATATAATTTTTGAACGAAGAAAATGGGAAGAAATGGCAAACTACAGTAAAATAAGACATCGCAACTACTACACCAATGCCAGATAGAAAACAAATGGGTATACTAAGGGATGGCAAAGGTTAGTTTTGGGTCGAGATTTCCGTATGTAAGAAGAGCACAATACGTTTATAATGTACTGAACAAAAAGAGAACAGTAAACACGTTGCCAAACGAAATAAACCGAGAAACTCTGCAGACTGTTAAGAGACGTGAAAGGGGAGAAGAGTGTACGTCATGCGTTCAGCTTCACGATTTAATTGCGTCTCGTGATACTTTATTTGTTTATTTATTAAAGAGTCGTAATTTTCCCTATATCTTGTAAATTTTTAAGTGCAAGTTAGAAACATTTACACTTTTGGTAATAATAAGCGGAATTGAGTTGGTGTTCGACAGTAGACGCGCTATTAGAATTCTGAATTCAAAAATCGATATCTCGAAATCTACTAGAAATAATTAATTGTAGTTTTTTTCAAAAACTTTGTTAATATTTCTACTATATTTTCTTCGCAGAGAGTGTTAAAATCTTTATAAATAAAAAAGTTACAAGGTTGCTGAAAATTGCTATGCACTAAAAGTAAATAGATGTTTTTTTTTTAATTTTTAAATGAAAAAAACAAGCCTATCGAATTTTTCTTATTTAAATTTCTTGTAAAAGATCCAACTTTCAAAATAAAAAAGTTTCAATATCTAAAGTGAGTCTTGAGTTATCGCGTGTTGTATTAAAAAGTTGAATTTTAAAATTATCGCGATTACTGACATTTTCTCGTTATAAAAAAATGGACATCCTAACGACATCCTTATAATTCTATTTCAGATGCTCAGACACATATCTAATGATTTTATCTAGTTATCAGTTCGAAAAAAAATGTCTTTTAAAAATAAGCGGTTTACGATCGTGATTGTACTTATAGAGAGAGAAAGGCCTACCGGAGAAATGTGACAACGCCGCAACAGCACACCGTCGCATTTCTCTCACTCCGACTTAATAAGATCCCTATACGATTTACTTCCAAACATGTAAATACCGACCCAAAATTAAGAGTTGCCAGCATGGTATACATTTTAAACCTAAAAAACAATAGTTTATTTGATAGGTAAATTTACTAACCTCATTATCAAGCACGGTGGCGATGACTTCAACCAGCTGCGTTCCAAAATTCGGTGTGATCTCCATTGCACATAATTCTTCTAGTAAATTAGGCTGAATATAGTGGATCATCTTCTTGATCAAACCCAAGCTAGCTTTCCTCACGCTGGCCAACATTGTGGATTGGAACGTGGAGCAGAAGACTGGCAGAAGTCTCTGTAGGTACACCGGAGCCATTTCTGGATCTCCTTTGGGTTCGATGCTTTCTTCCGTCTCTGATTCCGATTTTCTTCCTACTCTGTCTTTCTCCAATGAAACCATGTACTCTCCAGGCGATTGCAAGATAGCTGCTACCTCCCTAAAGCCAAAAAAACCGTTTTTTAATACAAAATGTATGTGTTTTAGAATATATCGAGATTAAGCGCTCAATCCTAACACAGGATACGATTTTTAAAAATAAATATGAATGAATAAAATATAAATCTCTTAAATATAATAGTTGCTATCTGGCTAAGAGCGAAATACACCATTTTTGCCCATCCATAAAAATTTGAAATTCAGCAGATAATGTTTAAATACAAAATCTATCGATTTCCGGAAATATCGATACTAGCAATCCGTCCCTACCTGTGTCCCTCATCTGCTCTTTCTCTAGCCTTGTCCAGCGGTGTTTTTCCATCTTCGTCCCGTAGATCAGGATTGGCACCATGCCTAAGCAGTACCTTGGCAATGGTTGGTCGACCAAAACAAGCTGCATAGTGTAAAGATGACGATCGCTGTCCTTTATTTACATCAGCTCCCTTATCGCACAGATACTCTACCATTTCTTGAGTGCCGAAAGCCGAGGCCCAGTTGAGAAGGGTCTGACCTACGTCATCCATGAAGTTCACCTATAGAGAGATTAAAGATGAAAAAATAGTATTTCGCTATATTGGGAAAATTTACTTGACAACTATACCTACCATATACATGTAATTTTAATATTTTTTAATATCGATATTTCAAAATATCGATAGTTTTGACCATATCAGTTTTTTGAGGTTATATCACACACTACTTTACAGGAGCAAAAGTAAGCGTCAGCTTGACAGTAAGCCTAGATCATATATACTTACGTGGATAAGTAAGTCACTATGGAAACTGTCGCAAACATATCAACGACTTCCATTTATCTCCTTTTATTGCACACACGGTGCTTCTACTCTATCTATCCTTGTCGAGGACCTATCGTCCACGCACCAAATTTGAACATTATTTTAAATTGTAAAATGCATATATTTGAACGATAAATTGAATGTTTACTGTCACAAAAATTAAATTATATAAATAAATATAATAGCTACTCCGTACGAATATCAATATTCTTAGGAAATCTAACCAGAAAGTATGCCATGTAAATAAGAGCAACTGAATACTTTACTTGCTTATGAAAAGATAATTCAGGGACCTTTATATTAGAACACACACCAAACACTTCCTAGTCATTTTTACGAGTATTTAGAAAGTCCAACGAAAAAAATAGAAATATAACTGCACAAACTTAAAATTAATTTCTCTTTGAACACACTTGCATCCTTGGCTATATAAAAGCGGTCGATAAAAGAGTAATTAATACAAATTTTTAAAACAAAAAACTTAAAAAACGCGTCTCAAGCGTCGTTACACAATGGAAATAAGATTACGACATATGATATATATATACTCTGTTTTTTCTCACTCTTTTTCTCAGGTAAGATTTCAACAGACGATGACAGAAGAAAAGCAGATGACGTCCCATACCAATCTATTTATTTTACTAAAAAAAAGTTTCTAATAATTTTTAAGTTATCTATGGATGGGTTTAAATATAAATCCGTCATGCGTCGTGTCTTGTTGTTTTTAACCAGTTTTATTGGTTTATTTAAAAAATGACAGATCGTATTTCAATTTTATTGGTTTGACGGAACGATGAACGACAAACGGACGCCGATGCGTATGAACTCGCCTTCAGATTTTTGTCATTTTTGACGCTTGTCAAAGTCTTGCCAAATTATAGGTTATAATTTTGTGTCAACTTTTGTTAAATCCCTGCGTTTTGGAAGATGATGCATTTTGATTCGTATTATTACGTGTGTTTTGTGTCTTTTGAAGTCAATTGGAGGAAAAATCGAGTGAAAATTAACTGTAGACCCAGAGCACAGTTTATGGTTAATACTCGCTGCCCAGGCAGAAAGTCTTATACACCAATGAAGTTGCCATCGATAAAGTTTGTACACCATTTCGTCGTAGATAAGTGCATCTCGTATATGGTAGAAGGATCAAACTAAACACATACTAAAAACTGGAGTAGCTGTAAAATATCGACATCACACGATAGGTAAATAATGGATTTTAGTACTGCAGAAAAATAATGTCAAAAGGTACTGGTTTAAAAAAATTATGATTAAAGTTAATTAATCAACCTTTAAGGTATAAAATTTGGTAGGTGTTATTATTAATAAAATAGTTTGTTTTATTTACCTATGTTGTTTTATTTATTCCTGTGAAATATTACAAATTTGTATTTGTACATAAGTTATATTGATAAATATAATCATAAATGCGGGTAGTTTCATAAAGCTTGAAAGTAAATAATAGTTCTTTTTTATATTTTTTTGGTATGTAGTGTCTTGTTCTTGTTTGTTTTGTATTAACATATACCGTTTTTATTAAATAAAATAACTCGATTACATTTTTTCAGTTTTTACAGTTTTTTTCACAATATTTTGAAGTAATCACTTGTCATCTTGTCAATCAAATTTTAAATATTTCCTGCTATGCGTTCCAGTTGTACCAACTTATTTCTTTGTAAAATAAAATAAACTACTTTGAAATTAAAATGACAGACACATCTATCACTGTCAAGGGTCTTCTCGTTGGACAGACTATATATGATATGATTATGACAAGATTAGGACAATATGATGATAATGAAAAGTTGGTTTCCATAACTGTATAATTTGTACTTTATAAACCGTAAAAAATTGCGATTATTTTGGAAATACGTGCAACGTTTGATGCGTAAAGTAAGGTCCTCAGAAAAGAGAAACCTATTGAACGTTAGAAAAGTGCAATAAAGGTTTGAAAATGGCATGTCGTGATGTTGCAGACATATTTTTTAATGCTAAACTTATGGCGTTGATTTATCCACCTAAGTATATATGATCTAGGACAGTAAGTGTATAAAAATTTTATGAAATAAATTTTTAAATACACTGAGGAAGAAAAATTATTAGTTTATACGTATAGGTACCTAGATATTGTCTTTTTTGGACAAGATACAATGAACCATTTTAATATCGATATTTTGAAATATCAATAGTTTTGAAATATCGATAATTTTGAACATCCCTATAAATCTTGGATTATGTAAACTCACCTCGACTCCTCCATTTTCGATGGCTTCAATCAAAGCATCCGTATCCTTAGACCTGATGCAGTCGATGAGTTGGCGATGCGACTTCTCCGCTGCCGAGTCCATGCGCCTGATGCGGGGCATCAGCTGGCCTGAGGTGCAAGCTCCGGTCTTGCCCAAGGCCCTGCGCCCCTCGAATAAGAGCACTAGGAGCAGATCGACCAAGCGCATCGAGTCCAGTGCGCATCTTTCGTCGCCTTTCAGTGATTTCTCTATAGCGTCTAGTAATTCCGAGCGCAAAAGATCCTGCAAAATAACCCAAATTCTGTATTGTTTTCCATTATTTTATTTTAAAAAAATTGTGTGTGTACTACGTGCGCATATTTGAAGTGAGACTTATTACAACAGCTATTATCTTATACAGGGTGGTCCGAATTGTATTCCGGAAACTTCGGCAGCATATTCTGCAGACAAAAATAAGTAAAAAAGTTCCTATAATTGTATGTCCTAAAATACTTAGTTTCAGAGATACAGGGTGTAGAAAGTTCATTTTTATTTCGATTTTTTCCAAATAATTTATGAAGTAATGTCAATATTTGAATGAAAATTGGTGTCTGGAAGTTTTTTGACACGAGAAATCTGATTTTGATGTCAATATGACTCCTACTTGTAGAGGGCGCCACCTACACATTTTTTACCTGGTTTGAAGAGTAATATCTTTTTGTCTGTACCTGTATAAAACTACCGAGTAAAAAATATACATTTACAATGTTTTTTACGTTAAAAAGTTTTCTTGGTAAAAATCGCTACGAGTAGTGGTTCTAGAAATATTTGGAATCGAAATTATCTATTCCTGTCATCATTGACATAAATTAAACATTTTGATTAAATAGTTATTATAAATAAATAAACATTTCCCAAATTTATTATTTGTCAAATAACTATCTACTCAACGTGTTATTTTTTGCCAATAATGACATGTATTGACTATTTCCTTATCTTTTAGTATCTTAAGAACGGTTGCTCGTAGCTATTTTTACCAAGAGACATTTTTTAAGCAAACAGTCACAGAGATGGATATTTTTTCATTTAGTAGATTTATACAGGTACGGACAAAAAGTTATTACTCTTCAAAACAGTTAACACATGTAGGTGGCGCCCCCTACAAATAAGAGTCATATTGAATCAAAATCAAATTTATCATGACAAAAAACTTCCAGACACCAATTTTCATTTGGAAAAAATCGAAATAAAAATGAAACTTCTACATCCTGTATCTTCAAAACTAAACATTTTAGGACATATATTGATACAAAGTTTTTTACTTATTTTTATCTGCAGAATCTGCTGCCGAAGTTTCAGACCAGCCTGTATATCATAAAGTAATTTTAATAGAACGTCACCGGTTTTTATAGACGTATCTTAGTGATCTTACATGAGTGATAGTGGGGGATCCCCTGCAAAGCGTAGACAACAGACTGATGATCGTCGAGACAGAGGCTGTAGACTTCGAATCTGGTACTGCCGCAGCTGCGTTTCCTGCGGCTGCCGACTTTCCGGGCGTATTTTGGTTACCGCTAGCTGTAGCCGGACCTGCGGCGCTTGACAGCCTACTCAGTAGTTCATTAACCAATCCTATAATTATAATTTACATCAGAAAAAAAAAATAAATTGAGCAAATATAAACACAGAAGAAGAAAAAGAACTTTTGATATTCTTACCATGTTGAGCTAGAGGTGCAGGATCGACGCCCCTCCTTGTAAACCTGTCGGCAACGGAAGCGAAGCACCTTAAGGCTCCGTCAGCTACATGGGGATCTTCGTGTTGAAGCAGTGAGCTCAGAGCCTAGGTAAAAAAATCTGAATTAGTTATCTGAAAAAGTTAGATACATTATTTTTTTGATACCCTGTATATACAATATACAGTGTCTCTCTGAAAAGGACACACTACTAGTGTAGAACTACCATAAAGTTCTACTAAATATCTATGGAGGGTAGAGGTAAGGAGAATTATATTTGTGTATTGAAAAGTGGTCATTAAGAGGGAACGATTAAGACGGCGCTGATGTAGAAAAAGTTCTATATTTGAAAAATGCTCCAAAAACTTAACAGGAACTAATCTAACCGAACCTATTTCTTTCATACAAGGCATTTTGTCCACATTTTGTCCTACTTACTATACTTTCAGAGATGTCTATTACAAAATATTTAAAAATGCCCTCTAAAAGCAACTATACATAAAACAAATTACCTGTACACATCCTGGTAATTGTACATCAGCAGGTTCCATTTTTGTACAAAGCCTCGATACAACAGCCATAGCCGAGTGTAACGTATCTTTGTGCACAGATTGGCCATTGTCACGAATAAACGGCAAAATGCAACTTAAACCTCCAGCGTCAAATACAGATCCAGCTTCCCTAGTACAAATCAACTCTAAAACCTAAAAAAAATAATTTTACAATATTAAGTAACAAAGAAATGTCAAAGTTCATACTTTGACGCACTGTTCTGCCAAGTCCTTGCTCGTTCTACTTGACAGTTCGACCACAATCAATCTGTTACAGATAGCTTTAATTGCGCCATCGATAGCTACAATTCTTCGGGTGCACTCAGCAGAAACATCTAGATAATATGTGATAGCTCTAGCTGTAACCTAGAAAAATAATGTTTATATTTGATTTTTTACACGTCGTCAAAAGAAATACTTCTAGGACATTTTCTGGGGCCTGTTCATCTAAGAATATTCTACAGAGAGCTGGTAAAAATGTACGGGGCGGACAACTTTCAAAACAACGATCGACATTATCGGACATCAGCAGAAGCATGCAGAGCTGCTCTAGAGCAATCAGCTGCATGTCCCGCTCATCTCCCAATCCACTATTCAGCCATTCTAGAAGAGTTTCCGGATCTGGGTCTGCCATTTTCTGCAATTCATTTAAAAACAGTTAACCGGGTGTAGATCATTATAATTTATCGTGTTATGCTTTGAATAAAAAGATTAAGGAAGGAGTATATCAACAAACTTAGGTCCAGCGCGATGGGGACCAAAAATGGCCGACTTAAATTATTCCTGTTTATCAGTGCCGTTCTAATTTTATTCAAAACGTGTAAAAATATGATGTAGGAGTCAATAATTTGTTGTTTTATTTTATGTTGTCAATAAATGTTTGTAAACATTAAAATGGTTATCTATACTAATATATAAAATCCTTAAGTGACTGACATACTGATTAATCACGATCCTGTTCAAACCACTCAACGTAAGAAGCTCAATTTTGGCATACAGGTTGATTCTAGGGTGTAGAGGTTCTATAAGAAGGGATTTTTCGAAACTCGAATTCTAAGGGGGTGAAACCATCCTTCAAATATAAGAATATTTTTTATTTAAGGTGATTTAGGTGATTAAGGTGATTTTTTCGGAAAAACTCTTAAACACGTATATTTTATTTTGTTGTTTTAGATATTTTAAGATTTTTTAAAAATTTATACAGGGTGTTTCATAAAATATGACCATTGAGTAATCACGATTCTGCTTAAACTGCTTGACGTTTAAAGCTGATTTTTGGTAAACGGGTTGACTGTGGGGTGTAGAGGTTCGATAAGGAGGGGTTTCTCGAATCTCAAATTCCAAGAGGGTGAAAACGCCCCTCAAATATTACAATATTTGTTATTTAAAAAACGGTTAGTCTTTCGGGAAAACGCTTGGACAAGCATAATTTATTTGGTTTTTTTACATATTTTGAAATTTTATAAAAAATCATACAGGGTATTCAAAAAAGTTGGGTAATTTCTTAACCACGATTCTGCTTAAACTGCTTGACGTAAAAAGCTTATTTTTGGCAAACGGATTTTTCGAAAGTCAAATTCCCACGAGATGAAACTACCCCTCAAATATTACCAAGTTATATAATAATATCGCCATATTGTTTTTTCTTATGCTGACATAAATGTGAGAAAATTTTATCCAGTTTATATGTTAATGGAAATTCTTGCTTTGCTTTATCATCACTATTACAAATGATTAAAGCTTGATTTTCATGCATCCGTTGTCCGACGATACGTTGATACGATATTAATTTTATTGGTAGAATTTAAAGACTTTGATTGGTTAGAAAATAACGCAGTTTTTAAATATATTGCATTTTCATGCCTCCGTTTATCGGATATACGTTGGTGTCATTTTATATTTCCGTTTCCATAACGATTTTGCTATTTACTTATATTTTTATTAAGGTTAGATTAAATTTGTCAAAAAAGTGTCAAAACGTCCGTTGTCGTATGAACGCATTGTATGAACGGGTCGGTTGACGGGCTGAAGTAAAATATTTACGGATGAAAAGTGGCGCGAAAACGCTATGACCAATCAGAACACCGTCGGACCAACGTATTAAAATCAAGCTTAATTCGACGCGAACGAAGTCGCTGGTACACGCTAGTAAAAATATATAATTCTATTTAAAATAGGTAAGTTTTTATAAATTATTTATTAACATAAACATCCCATACGCTACTGAAGCAGGTAAGTCTTGACGTATCAAAATTCTTTGACAAGTAGTAAATAAAAGCAAAAATGCAAGAGAAAATATATAATTAGTTAATTTTAAGTGAATTTCATAAATGATCGGTTTACTACATGTATGTATATTATATAGTCATTTACTGGTAAAAAGTTATTCCGTTATTTCCCTCGATTTTTGGCCGAGATCTACTGCACGCTACACAACCATTTTACAGTCTTTTTCGATAAATAGCAATAGTGTCACTGTTAATTTAAGTTCTGTTACAATTTCCTTCTAGATTTGGTTTGGACTACCTCTAAACAATTTCCAGTTGTAGAATAAATAATAAATAACATAAAATAAGCTCAGTAAAGACTGACAAATTCACAAAATTTCAAATCAAATTCCCATGTGTCAAATGAATCGTCAAACAGAACTGTCAAGGATCCCCACCATAGGACTCTACCTCCGTCTACCATGCATGAATAGAATACATGCATGAATATGATAACATTATATTCCTTCCTTAATCTTTTTATTCAACGCTTTTATGTTAAGCCGAAACCTATACAGAGTGTTCCTTAATGACATGCTAATATTTAAGGGGGCGATTCTTGGACATATTCTTGAAAAAAACTTCGTATGAATGTAAGTAATTAAAAATATTCAAAATGTAAACCATTTAAAATAAAATTGTTTGTACGTCAAAAAATACATATTGATGCATATATTGATTAACATCAGAGTTATTAACGATATCTTTATGAAACTTGATACAAACTATAGAAAAGTTTACCATCCTATATCTGTTATAATCCCGTCCTCATTTTAATTAAATTTGTAATATTAGTTTAGGAATGTCCCATCCTAAAAACCTTCATACCTTTGGGGTCATAAACGACCCTACAATATAATTCCAATTGATAACTTGAACTATTACTTTTGGGAATTTTGATCATAAATTTATATAGCTGTCACAGACGTCTGTCTACCTAAACAATATAAGTTAAGGGGCATTTCTCTGGCATTTCTGTAGCTTAAATACTATTTAAGGAACTGCAAGACAGGCCCTCAGTTTGTTTTGCTGTTTCAGAGACAACACACTCTTTTGCTCTTACTCTTTTGCTGTTTGAGTCACAACACTCTTTTGCTTAAACCCTCTTTTTGCTCAACACTCTTTTGCTTTTGCTCTTCAAGTCTCTTTTGATCAGAACTCTATTTTTACTCTTCAACGCGTTACTATTTTTCACAGTTTCCCTCAGGGTAACTATTGTAACTAGTTCATCATAATTAAAGTTAAGTTATATTAAAAACAACAGTGTACATTAATTCCACACCTGAAAAGACCCTCAACAAGCTGGCCCTACTGAACAGGACCACAACATATCTCAAAAATTAAGATGATTGGGACAAACATTCATACGAGGTTTTTTTTCCTAGAATAAGTCCAAAAATCACCCTGTTAAATATTAGCATGTCATTAAGGAACACCCTGTATACAGAGTGACCCAGGCATCCGAAAAAGCTCTATATTAGGTTTTTGGTTTGTGATTTATATTTCAATGTTTTTGTGTCAATTTATTTCAATTCCATTTAAAAATATAAAACTTCAGTTTGAAAATATATTTGAATCACCCTATATGTTGACAATAATTATTTTCAAAATGTGCATTCATTGTCCTTGCACTATGTAAAAAATTACAAACTAAAAACCTAATATGGAGCCTTTTCGGAAGCCTGGGTCACCCTGTAGTTAGTTTTTATACTATTTCAACCTTAGATTTCAACACATTAAGGTATTACCAATATTTAATGGTAAAGGCCAATTGGACTTAACATACCCATTATCCTTAATTATTATCGAATAAACAAAATCATTACACAGCTACGTCATTTCTTAAATCTTTTCTTTGTTACTTGCCCAAAAAGTCATTTTTTTCAGGTTGTATAAAGTCTGTTTATTGTGCAGTGGTTTAGTTTATTCTTTAGCATTAGTAATTACAAGGTTTAGCATCTAATTTTACTATATACCCATGCTGGTCTTTCAGTATAAAGTTTTTAGTAAAGTTAGTATTAATGATAGTCCACGACAAACAGTTCATAATGTAATAATAAGGAGAAGAGAGTTAAATACAGTTCAAAAAAAATACAAGACAGTTCCAAATAATAGTTCAAGACATTTAAAAACAAGCACTTAAGTTAAATCGTGTATATAGTCGCAGTAAAATTGTTTTATCAATTAGGTAGTAAGTGTGTAATTCAGTCTAACTACAAGATAAAATAAAATGTTACAATATATTGTGCATTTCATTTCTTATTAATATACAAGAATTATTTATACTTAGGGGAAGTAACAATATTGAATCTCCTCCTCAACACTATGGTTTTGTTTTTATTTCACTAGGCTAACAAAATCAAAACTAATTATTTGGGATTATACAACAAAAGTAATTAGGAACGCCAATGTTTTTTTGGCAAGATCTACTGAATAATTTCCTTTATTTTCATTATAGGGTCATTGTATTGTGAAAAAGTAAAATAATATGACTTTACCCTGTTCAAAATCTTCATTAACAAAATAAAAATAAACAACGTGTTAAGGATGACAGGTAGATTTGAACAAAAAAATACAAAAATGGTTATTGAAATATTAATTGAAACTGCGCAATGTAAACAAATACACTTAACACATGGCCAACCTACACCAGCCTATGTTGAAAACACTTGAAAAATGCTTACCTTTAGTCGACGTGAGTCCTTCGAGTGTTTTCTCGAAGACAGCGATCGCAAAAAGTCCTGAAATTAATCGTGAATTGAATACAAAGGAAACGTAGTCAACAAGCATAAAAATGTTCTATTTGAACCTACCATAACATCGCGTAAAATTTCCCTAAATCGATACTAACGGTGTTTTTCTTACCACTCCTATTTTACCAGAAAAAGCGTAAAAAATCGGTCGAAAGAATCAAGACGATTCGGGAGATAAGTTATCAATGTTTAATTGCAATGACATTCTTAAGCTGACAAAGAATTTGTAACAATTTCGACGTACATCACGAGAGGTTTTGAAAGAGAATTGACACCAGTATGTGTGCATAAGGATACGATACTTTACCTGATCTAATTTCTTTCACATAGCAGGGCACTGAAATTATACACTTTAAAGTGGCGGACAAAGTAAATTTGAATTGTTTCTAAGAGGTTTTCTTTATTGAATAATCCACCTATTTATTTCTCACATTCACCTACGCGAAGATTACTTGCAAAATGTCAAATAAATAATGAAACGACTACAGCGACATCTAGCTAGATACTTTCTTCTTTTCAATTCCATAGGGCGGATTATCACCAGAAGAAATCGATCATATCCGTTTATTTCTTTAATTAGTGTAAAGGCCTAAGCTACTAGGACTATCCGACTTACACATTCATATCCAATGTTCAAACCTTTTGTTGCAATGTAGTCAGGGATGGGCGTTTGGTAAAGGTGTGGATCCGGTGGCTGACCTTGAAGCCCATATTTGCTGCTTTTGATCATCGATACTACGCAAGCGCACATCGTCGATGTTGCCAAATTGCAGTTTATTTTCGAAGTATTTGCAGTCGAAAAATTTTTTTTGCCTGTTAATCAATAATAATACAAATTCTATAATTAATTTTATAATTTCAGATTTATCTTGATATCCAAAATTAAGGTAAGAAGAATAATGAAGATTGTGAAATGAAAGTATTATGAATATATAAAATTGTAATAATAATAACATTTATTTATATATTTACATTAGAATTAAAATTTATCATTTACGGATTTTTTTCTTAATGGTTTTAAACTTATTAGAATTATTTTATTTCTTTTCATTAAAAAGTTATTTAATTTCTAGTTATTTACAGGCAACAATAGTTTTGATTATATGTATTGATGTTTTGAAGTACTACCATGACGGGTCTTATTATAGAACAATAAACGTCAATCGGAGATAGAGGTAACATTTTACCTATTATATAATGTTACTAATATAATATACTTTGATTATAATTAATGTTTTTATCATAATTTCTTAAAAATATCAAGTTAGTGGATTTTATCGAAGAGTGTGTTGATAAGCAGTGGCGGACACAGGGGGCCCGGGCCCCCATAAAGTCTGTGAATTGTGTAAAATATTAGGCTTTTGTGTTAAAAATGGCGCCCTAAAAACCATATTCTACATTGCTTTTCATTTTGGGCCTCCCCTAAAATAAATTCCTGTATCCGGCCCTGTTGATAAGACTAAAATAAGCTTTATGTTTTATCTTTTTCTTTTTAGAAGGGAGATGGTTTGTATCGTAGAATACATTACAGTATTTAATATCGTGTACTTTGATATTCTTTTCTTAATTTACTGTAATTTCTTGTTTCCTATAATGCCAAATCTTGACAATATGGTGAAGGTTGATTTTTGATCTTATTAGTTTTATAAGAATAATAATAATAATAGAAATACAAGACTAAATTAAGACTTAGTTTGTGATTTATATTAAGATCTTTCTTATAATATTTGTTATGTCTTAATCTTAATACTATATTATGCTTGGTCTGGAAAATAAATGTTAAAATATCTTAATTTTGCATATCCTATTCCATCCTTCCATTAGGAAAAATATGGTTTATAAATCATATATGCTAAGAAAATCACATAAATTAGGTGTAAGAATAGAGAAATCTTAATGTAGCAGAAAAATTAATGCAATATATGTATAAGCAGAATTAAACAAGGTCACTGATGTTAATGTTGCTGAAGGCTGATTCTACAATTTTAATTACGGAGGCTAAAAGGCCTTTTAAGGCCTCCGTAGTTTTGATGGAATGTTAAAAAAAATCTATTATAAACATGACATGGAGCTACAGCATTTAAAAATTAAAAAAAAAGAAAAAACTTGGACACATCCCTTTTAATTTCCCGAATTTTTAATAAAGCACTTTTTAAACGTAGCATAATAATCTAGATAGGAATCTAGAGTTTTATTTCTATATAATTTTATTGACTATAAAAATACATAATAAGCGTTCACGTGTTGTGCTAAATATTAAAATAATATACCGCGTACTATGATTGAAAAAAAATAGCGTCAGCAATGACTATGAAATGAAGATCGCTGTCATTTTATGAAAATGTCCTCAATCGTCATTTCCCAGCCAACTGGACGCCGTTTTTTCGAACATACGGTATATATTGACAAAAAAACACTGAAAAGCACATATTTGTTTTCTACTGAAAATAATTCCAAAATAACTCGCAATCTGGCAACATCGAAGATGTGCGCATGCGTAGTGTCAGTGACTATATGCAGCAAAAACTCGTTTCAAGGTCAGCCACCCCACACCATTACCGGTTATCAACTATTTTGACGACGCTGCCGCAAAATAACTGAAAACATTTCTCCAGTTGAAATGGGTTCTCGTGCATAATATGTTTTTGATATATATGGTGACAATTTTTCAACTTAACCAAGTTATTAAACTCCTGTACAGACAATCTGTGAAAATTCCTAAATTTTTTCTCATCTTTTGTCCTTATTTTTTGAATTAAATTGCGATAAGCACCTTGTTGCTTACGAAATTTGAATATTTCACATGTCCCAATAAATGACTCATAAATGACCTATAAATAAATAATATAAAAAAAAACCGTTCTCTTCTACGTCTTAACAATAAGTAAATGGCAATTTTGCGCCTTCTGTTCCAATCCCACAATCGTAATCGATATTCATAATCATTAAACAAATTTAAACTCATATTGTATGCTATAAAATATAAAATAAAGATCGTAAACACGAATAAATATGTATAAAACAAATTAAGTTATCTCAGGTTATGATTTTTTTTGTAACTTTCAGTGGAGCAAAAATTAAATGTCCCTAAAAATTCGCGACTGTATGAAATAGGTCAAAATTTTGCGAATATTTTTTGGCGAATCGCTTTTCGCTATTCGCGTCTTATATGAAACAAGCTTATGATTGTAAATATCTTTCGTCACTTTCAGAGATAATATACAGATTTTTCAGACTCTTAAAAAAAATATTAAAAATACAACTGAAATCAGGACAATTTAGTCTTTACTATAGATGTTCTGTATTTTGCTATAAATATTGTAATCTTAAATTATACAGGGTGTTCAAAATCAGGATTAAGAAAACGCTAAATTTTATTATTCTTTTTTATTGTTGTTGCTGCTGTTGCTTTTCAAATGTATTCAGTACAATTCATTACAATCTATATCCAATGCATTCCACTAAATACATCTGCTGTTGCTGCTGGGACTTCTAAAAAACCGCCAAAAAAACCTTAAAATTCTGTACGAAAATCGAGGATTTTAAATAATTTTACCTTCTTCGGTAGCTCCGTGTCAGGCTTCCGGTCTGGCAGCGGTTACCACCACGCGATGATTTTTCGCCAAATAGTCGGCGTACTCTTGGTAAGGAGTACGAACCAGCGGCATTTCTTTCCACAGATCTGGGGTCAAATAAGCGTAGGTCTTGGCTATAGCAGCGTAAGTAGCCTTCGCGAAATTACCCAGGGTTCCTGAAAAGAGGAATCTCTTAGTAATTTCTTAAAATAATTAAAAAACATTTTTATAAATGGGGTATGAGATCAGAAATTCTTGACCATCACTGATATATAAATATATCTATGGTGGAAACCGCGAAAGAATAAAGTTATTCATCATGAAAAAATAACAATAAAGATTACAATTTCATAATTTAAAAACCTAAATAAATGCTCACCGGTAGAACCTCTTGCAGATGTGTAACAGTCCTCAATACCAGCCATTTGGAGAAGTTTTTTAGGTACTGGTGCAGATACAATGCCAGTACCACGGGGTGCAGGAATGAGACGTACAGTGACAGAACCACATTTGCCAGTAACCTTAAAAAATCAAGTATTTTAGCATATAAAATATGACTCTTATCTATTAAAAATAGCAGAGTTCATTATTCAGACATCTTTGGCCATCACAGACTATAAGTCTTCGGTGGAAACCGCGAAAGAATATAATTATTCATCATAAATATTAACTATATAACAAATAAGATTAAAAAATATGGTAATTATTGGGAAAACTGGAAATCGTCCGATTTTCACCAAAATTGGTATACACCCTATTTTGAGGTCGTAGATTACGAATCTGAACTTTTTTCTTGGCGGTCTCTTACCGTTTTTCAGGAAAACGGGAAATAATTTAAACATTGAATTTTTCTTAATTTCTCAAATTTTTAAGGTTTTCTAGCACATATTTTGTTAGGTATTCAATAAACAATGATGTTTTTCTATTTTCTGTTACTTTTTTAACCAATTCTATGCATAATAAAGGAAAATTTGCTAAAATAAATTTGTAAACAATTTGAAAATGTTGGATTGTGTTTCTGGGATTTAAAGCAACGTTACCAATGGCAAACCTAAATTTGGCGTGTTTTTTTTCGCTCATTCTGGGATTACGAAAGGCGGTCGCCAGAGGAACGGCTCCTTCTCATAACTGCTATTTTACCAACGAGACCTAACTTTTTATAACCACGAAGTTGCACGAAAGAGTTTTGATTGCATTGGTTACAACTTCCATGCGGAGGGTGGTAATCTTTTGTTGTTATATTATATCAAAAAAAGATTAACCCCCTCCGCAAAGAAGTTGAAACCAATGCAATCAAAACTTTCGTGCAACTTCATGGTTATAAATAGTCTTATATAACTTCTTTGCGGAGGGGGTTAATCTTTTTTTGATATAATATAACAACCAAAGATTAACACCCTCCGCATGGAAGTTGTAACCAATGCAATCAAAACTCTTCCGCGTAACTTTGTGGATATAGGTAGGTATATTTAAATGTTGTCAGATCTCATAATAGGTAATTTATTTAAAATCCCTAATCACCCGAAAAAAATAGAAGATATGGCAACCTCGCAAATTTTCAAATTTCTAGATCAGGTCCATGATAGTGATGGGAATAATCGAATTATTTTCACCATCGAATAATTAGTAATAATTCATATTCCACCCAGATAGTAATTTTCTGTTAAGCTCCGCACACTACATGCGTAATATCTTATCTAACCCTCCTTGTATCATGGATTAGGTCTAGAATATATTTGTCTCTCTTATTACATAGGAAAGAGAAAGAAGAATATATGAACTGTCAAACTTCCATCTGGTCTCAATTTTCTTTGTTATTTTGTTAAGAAAAGTGTTTTTCAGTAAAATTTTGGACATTTTTCTATCCTCAATCAAGTGTGGCTTTTAAATAAACTATAATATAATAAAAATATAGTGAAATTATTACTTTATAGGGCCGAAATAAAGAAAAATTCAATGTTGAAATAATTTTCCGTTTTTCTGAAAAACGGAAAGAGACCGCCAAGAAAAAGTTCAGATTCGTAATCTACGACCTCAAAATAGGGTGTATACCAATTTTGGTGAAAATCGGACGATTTCCAGTTTTCCCAATAATTACCACAAATATATATCTTTAATAATTACCTTGCAAGGTACGGTATGAGGCTGACCAATCTTGTTACCCCAATACCCTCTTCGGACAGGTACTACAGAAAGCTTAGCTAGAATAATAGCACCGCGAATAGCAGTGGCTACTTCCTTGCTGCACTTAACACCCAGACCAATGTGGCCCTTGCTGTCACCAATGGCTACGAAAGCCTTGAAACGAGTACGCTGACCAGCACGAGTCTGCTTCTGGACGGGCATGATTTTCAACACCTAGAAAGCCCCCCAAAAACAAACAATTATGTAAAGAGATTTAAATTAAAAAAAATTTAAAATAAAACTTGAAAATAATATTTTTGAAAATATTATCATCAGAATTTTATGGCCATCATTGACAAAAAGTTGTCTTTGGTGGAAACCGCGAAAGAATAATATTATTCATCATGAAAATTATTTAGAAAATATAATGCATAAATACAAATATATACCTTACCTCATCGTTGAGATCACTTCCAATAAAGAAATCAATGATTTCAAATTCTTTGATTGGCAGAGAAAACAGATAGATATCTTCTAAAGACCTTATCTTTCCATCTCTAACCAAACGACCCAGTTTTGTTACAGGAACCCATTCCTTGGAATCTTCCTGTAAAAAGTTTACTTAGACCAATTAAAATGACTATAACTGTCTTAATTCATATTTATACTTTATCTTAAGATATCGTTGTATTGAGATAGAATCTTAATTTATTATTTTTTGTACTTATAACATGGATTGTAAAACAGAAACTACATTATTTTAATAATCACAGAATAATAAATGCTAAATTGACAGATAAATTGATTTTTGCATTAACCTAACACATATTTCTGACAAAATCATTCTTTTTTACATACCTTTCCACGGCCACGACCGCGTCCTCTGCCCCTGCCTCTACCTCGGCCACCGCGCCCCCCTCTGCCACCACCAGGAGCACCTCCTCCAAAGCCTCCCCTGAATCCACCACGACCACCGGCTGGAGCTGCGTCCGCCATTCTAACCAAAATTTTATTTTATTAGTTTTTTCCAGTTCATCGTTAAAAAATTTTAATAAATTCGTAGAAAAATAATAAATCAGAGTAAAAACTACCATCATCGATCGAAATCTTCGGTGGAAACCGCGAAAGAATAGGTTTATTCATCATTCTAATTTAGTTCAACACGTGAAGTTCAAAAACGTACTTGACGAGTTTTATAAATCAGTTTTGGTTTAATATAAACATAAGAAATTATCACTGGATGTTATATTTGAAGAAATAATATAATAAAGTAAAGAATATGTGTAAAAACAGTAAATAAATAGAAAAAACTTACATTTCAATCCTTCCTCGACCGTAGACAACGAAAGAAAGGAAGTAAAATGGAAGGGAATGAAGGAAACGGAAATTACATTTGACAATTTTGACAGTAAAAATCATAGAGGGGGTAGAATTTAATTTAAATCAGAGATATATATTTCTAATTCATATATAAATAACATAAAATGTAACAATTTTTTACTTCAAGTGTTGAAATATTACTTGTTAACTTAATAAAATAGTTTTCTGTAATTGTCTGTTTTAAAAATTGATCTAGCAATAGCTAAAAGATAAAAAAAAATTGTTAAAAAAGTAAGATCATATATTATTTATATGATCTTCAATCCAGAAAGAAAAATTTAAATGACCGGGCGTATAGTCCTGGTAGCTTAGGCCATAAAACTAATCAATATTGAAAGAAGAAAAAAATAGACCGGATAGTCCTAGTAGCTTAGACCTTTAAATTAATGAAAAAGGAAGAAGAAAATGCTTCTGAAGTTAGTTACAAAATGTGTCAAAAAATCAGCTGTTGTTTATAAATTATTAAAAAACAATTATTTAATAATAAAATTAATGCATTTCAGTTAATATCATTCTTTGAATATCATTTAAGATCATGGAAGAGGTTGATAAAATAATTATAGACTCCCTAAAACATATTAATTGGTATGACCTACAGTTAAATAATTTACTAGACATAAAAACATTACTTTTTAGTGATATAGACGAAGATATCAATAGTTTAAAACAGTTCGAACCAGATCTAGTTTTAGAAGCTATTTCGTCCTGTCTGGCGATTATAAATCCAGACATACAAGTTATAAAAAAATTACCTGCTTCTATGAGCGGTAAAATCAAGTTGGCATCTAATGTAGCTCAGCAGATACAAACTATAGGTTTTAAGGGTGACATGGGATACCAAACGATTTTGTATAGCAATGAGGTAATTTGTGACGCTTTTCTCCTCTTGTGTGATATTTTATTTTTTTACACTTAGGTAGAAGTACGTAGGGTATTAATGTTTCTAATAGAACGTCTTCCAAAAGAAGCAAGTCCAATTACAACAATTGAACCAGTCGGATATGTAGCAAGAATAGTAAAAGATATAGAAGACAGCTTAAAAAAGTCTTTGAATAGCATGTGGTTACCAACAGCTCTTCTTCATTATGGTACAAGACAAATTTCCGATAATATAATTGTCAACAGTCTAGGAAACAGTAGTGAACTAAATTCTGTTAATTTAATATTACCAAGTAGGTATACATTTTGCTTACTATGCTTTTTTACAAATTAAACTTGAATAGGTGCAGAAAACAGAGAATACATTCCTGAAGTTCCTAGACAGTGTACGAAAAAACAATTATTACCATCGATATTATTTAAACCAGCAGACTTTACAAATTGTAGTAACTGGGAAAATTTAGTACAACAGAGGTTAATAAAAACTGATATAACTGATCAAATACTTGATGAAACTTCAAATGATAAATATACAGAAAGCACTCCAATAGAATCTGAAAAAGTAGAAGCTCCGAATACTTTAAAAACTTCCATAGAACATTTGAAAATTAAAAAGAACGAGTTAGTTGCTTTGCAGGAATCAGTCAATGGTTTAGAAAAAGAGTTGAAGAAGGTAAATATTATCTGACAAACAGATCTAAAACAGCAAGAGGAATACAAGCAAAAAATTGATGACATGTTTAATAATAGAAAAACAAAATTACTTCATGGTATCTCAGATTCAAGCAGAAGTCCCATTGTTTCAGATGTTTGTCAGACTGTATATTATTTTTTCTCGAATTATATGTTATATTTAGGTTTATATATATTTTTATAGATTCAAAACGAAAATTTAGTAGAAGAAAAGCATTTAAAAGAAATCACACATAATGCCAAAATCCTTAGTACAACTTTGGCAGTTTTATATAACGAAGAAAATAAAGTTAAGTTAACAAATTCTATAGAAAAAGCTAAAAATCGTTTAGTTGACTTAAAAAAACAGTGGGACGAAGTTCAGTCACCTCTATTAGAAGAGCATATAGCCTTAAAAAGGTATCACAGGTTTAAAAAACCCGCGTCGTAGTAGTAGTTTGTACAACCATTTTTATATTATTTTAGCTCGGTAAGTTCAGAAAGCATAAAAAATCAGAATGATGGATATAAATATAAGAATTTAAAACAAACTTATGCAAATTTAGTTAGAGATTTTAAAGAAAAATATTTACTTGAAGAAAAACTTGTGGAAAAATGCAAAGAACTTGGCAATAAAAATAACAGGTATTTTTGATTTTTTTTACAGTTATAGAAGGTACTAAAATTATTTATTTAGAGCAGCTTATACGAAAAGGATCTTGGAAATTGTAGCTAACATCAAGAAACAGAATCATGAAATTGAAAAGGTTCTGTTGGACACTAAAGATGTGCAAAAAGATATCAACAGTCTTACAGGTCAAATTGATAGATCTTTTACGTTAAGTGATGAATTAATATTCTACGTAAGTTTATTTGAGGTTGTTTTTAAGTTTTTTAAATTAAAATATCTGTTTTTAAGGATTGCAAACAAGACGAAACAGCTAGAAGAGCTTACAAACTCTTGGCTGCCCTGCGTGAAGAATGCAATGGGGTTCTTCAGGCAGTGTCTGATATGGGCCAAACTGAAAGAGAACTAAGAAATTTGGAAGAACAAATTGAAAGTGAGAAGTCCAAAGGCGTCAAAGAAAAACTGGAAAAGATTCAAAAAGATCTGGACGAAATCCAAAAAGAAATTAAACTACTCTCTTGAGTGTTTTTATATGTATATCTAAGTTTTAAAATTTGTACAGAACTGTTATAACAAAATATAATTGAAAATGGAAATGAAAGAAAATTATTAAAATAAATTTGTATAAACTTAGGCTGTACTTAAACTGCCGTTAAACGGTAGCTTACTAAAATGCCGTTAATAGGTATGATGTCGTTGATGTGACGCACTTGACGGCTTTATGAAATATAGGAATTTTATAAGGACTAACCAACACTATCCACCCCACCAAATAACCAACTTAACCAACGCAACTAACCTCGACACTGATAAAAAAATTTAAAAAACAAATATAAATTAGTAAAAACCAACCAACCCCACCAAATAACCAACTAACCAATGAATTAACACCCTCCAAATAATCACGCTAACCAACCCGCCAAATAACTAAACCAATCCAACCAAAAAGAGTGAAACCAATGCAATAAGATCACGCTATAAGCAAAAAAAAATTTAAAAAAGTCTTGGCCAGCGTGAGATTTGAACCCTGGACCTTGCGCTCACGAACCGATAGCCTCAGCCACGGAGCCACAGGTGCTCTTGCAATATGCTTATGGCTAGCCATTACTTTCCGCCGACAACGACGTCACAATATCTATTAACAGCATTTTAGTAGGCTACCGTTTAACGGCTGTTTAAGTACATCGTTATTTTTTTATTTCTTATTAATTTAATTCTATAACATAATACAGGGCGTATGTTAAATAAGTGCAAATATTTTTAGGGGTAGTATATTTCGACACCAGAAACACAAGATTATTGAGGTGTTTTTCGCGATTTTTTTTTAAACTTGGAATTTTTTAAATGATTTTTTTTTTAATTTTTTTAGTTTTTAGTTAAAAAAAACATAATTTCTTGATGGCAACATAAATAGTATATTAAATTGACAAGAAATAAAACTCAGAAAAGATCCAGTGGTTCCTAAAATTTAAGGAAAAACTCATTTTTTTGGTTAGGATTAATTTGAAAAACAGTAATGATAAAATATGTTTCTTTTATCGAGATCTACCAGCCCTGAAAATATTTGCACTTATTTAAGGCTCACCCTGTATTTCTTTTACATCTACATAGGTACAACTTGTGGAAAATAAAGTTCCAACCCTAGATGCAACATTTTTCGTAAACACCTACTTGTGCGGTTTGAAATTTTGATTTTGTTGCAAAATCCGGCAATACCGCATAGAAGAACTTTTATCTCTTTTTAATACATTTGATTTTCCATTATGCTGTCTACATCACTGTCTTACACGTTAAAATAGAGAACACGCAGTTTCGATGACCAGATCGGTATAGATCACTAATTATTATTTCAGTTTTAGTAATATAGGGTAATATGTATTAGTATTTTAATATCATGCAGTTTGCATCTTTTAGACTTTTTTTAAAGAGTCACAAATAAAAAAAAAACAGCGTCACGGTCATCTTTGAAATATCGGGCCGATACCAACAAGTCATTAATTAAAAATTGGAATAACCTTGTCAAAGTTAATATTTAAATTGAAATCAAAATTTCTCGATCACACGCAAATCTACTCAGTAATTTTATTTTTTAAAATATATCAGTAGATGTCTTGGAACATCTTACATTTTTCTAAATTAAGTATAAATTTATGAAATTTTTTTATGGCAAATGAATGAATTGCCACCAGTAAGTTTTTTTTCGTTCATAAGGTATACCCTTGGTATACCTATCCATATGAGTGCAAAATAAATTTCGTGTTTTCTTTAAATTCTTAATATAACGCTTATTTTTTTTAGAATTATGTATGCGATAATTCAAATGATATTATGAGTTCGAATATGGGTCTTGATTTTTTCGAAGCTTTTTTAGCGAGACTTGCATGGCCAGTCATGCAACACATACATGACACCGCCCACATAGCAAAACAATATACCTAGCAGGTGCTCAGAATAAACTTTTTTGGTATAAGGATATTGGAAATATGTTCTGAGCATGTGCTAACCTTTTGGCCGCAAGTAGCATGTGCTATGCACTTGGCTTAAGAATGTTCTAAGAATATTTTAAAATATGCTGAGAATATTCTTGTTTTTATACATATAGCATATTTTGTGAACATACTATAAAAATTAGGGAGGTAAATTTCGTTCAGCACAGATAGACAGTTACGTCACATCATGACATACTTCTCTACAATATCCAAATACATGCGTAAAGAAACTGTCTACCTGTGCTGAACGAAATATACTATATTTTTCTAGGTATCCAATGGAAATTTTAAATAATAGGAAATAGGAATAAAATACTTACAAAAACATTTATTTGCAAAAATAAACAGCATTTAAATATTATAATGTTTATATATTCTGCTCCTCCTGATTCTCAGCCAATCTAAAAAAGTATATCTATACCGTCTCTTAACCTAACTATAAATAATAAAATGAAGCTAACAAACTTTAACACCTAATACTTACAAATCATTGATAAATATTTACAAAAATTACAAATGAAACAAGGCTTTAATACCCTGACGCTACGAACTAAAGACTACTTTAAACCTATTCGAAATTCAAAACACTTACGCAAGCAAGACTAATGTAACATGTAACAACAGTACAAACAACACTTTTGTTTTTACTTAACTTTCAAATGTTGAGTACACACAGAACACTATTATCGATATAACGGTAAACACAAACCAGGCAACGGGAACACATTTTAATACAAAAATCAATCCCGATGTCACTCCGAATCCTATATCTATAAGCAACAAAATCAACAAAATGCAATCAAGTTCGGTTGGTTCGACGGGACGCGCACAGGGGACGCGGTCTTTCTTTGTATCATGGCGGCGACGGCGGCGAGTTGGTAGACAACGTTGCCAGAATTATTTTATCTAACTATCTAAACAAGATTATTACCTATGAAAAGTACTTTATTTCATAAAAACGTACTAGATAATATTTAAACAAAAAACATGTTCCATTAACAAAAATATACAAAAATTAACGTAAACATGTCCAAAACGTAGTAAATCTAGAATATTTATACTAGAAATTATACTAAATTGGCAACACTGTTTCGTATTAATCGTGTTGCAGCTTCGAAGAGCCGCGGCCAGAAGGCGCTGAACTCCGCTGAAGACGCGCACGATTTGGAACCATGGTATATCGATGGTTGAATTTCAGAATATCGCTCATTTTACGGATAAAATAGCCAACATATGCGATGTTTTGAGCAGGAGGACCGAGCTGTTGTATATATCCAGCAAAGTATATAGTTAAATATTCTTAGCATATGATAAGAATATATGCACAAGAATATACTTTAAAGAATATAGGTGGCACATGTCCATTTATTCCTGGAACATGCTCAGAATATATGTAATAATATAATATATAGTATAAGGATATAAGTTCACGCACATGCTAGGTATATGCTATAGATATGAATATGCTTCTCATTGCTATGTGGGCGTGCATCTCAATTTTATTCCACAAAGTCGCCATAACGGTAAACAAAATATAGCGAGAACAGTTAAAACGATCCTCAAAACCGAGAATAACACACGGTAACTTGTATTTACTAAGGCAGGAACTATTAGACTTAGCAAGAGTAAAGGAAACGAAAAAATTACACCCAGCCAATACAAAACTCTCCTCCTAGCAATATTTTTTTCCGCCTCTTCGCATAACGCAATGCCTTCTTCTAGTACAGCCCATTTGATTCTGTCATTATTGGGCATATTTCCAGATTTCTTATCTCTGTTTAAGCTTAGTTCAACCATGACAGCCTCATGATCAGAATAACTGTAAGATTTATTAGGGACACGTTCTGGTAAGGGTAGGGAGTAATTTTTTAAATCTACTTTGACATTTGATCCAGGATGGTACATAATGTAGTCAATTCTTTAACCTAACGCTTTGTCTTTTATTAAAGAACTTGACGTGTAGCTATTCCTGCAACTTTCAGATGTTGCGTAAATGTCTTGGGATAAGTTTCCTGACTGCATGTAGGCATCAGTCATGCCTGACATGCTTAAAATAGCTCTGGAAAATAAAATGCATTATTTGAAAATGTTTCTTCGCTTACCGTAACATCTTTTTTTCATTTGATCGCACTGTACCTACCTATATGACAAATCCCCAGGTTCAGTATTTAAGTCACCCGCCAATACAACAAAGTCGGCCGAACTAGAAGTGAGCAAGATAAACTGAGCAATGTCGTAAGCTTGTAGAACCCGATGTGCTTGGTAGTCATCAGAAGCACGGTTATACTCTGCATGAAGCTGCAATAAATCCAATTTTGAGTAAAGTCAATTTTGTTTTATCAGTTGTTTTTACGTGAGCTGAATAAACGTTAACGAAGAAAGTATCTGTCCCACTTTCAACCTTGAGTCGACATAAACCTACATCTTTGCCTCCTCACCAATCACCGTGATGCACTTCATGTATGTATCCATTCACCGACCATTGATGGAAGAATGTCTCTTCAATTTGATGTTTGGAAAGGATGCAAATCCCTGAACCTGTCACCCCACTTGTAACATAAAATTAAATTGTGCAGAATAATTCAACAATGTCTAAAAATCAACAATGTATTCTGAAATTCAACAATATCCATAATTCAAAAATGTCTAAAATGCAACTTGTAACATAAAATTAAATTGTGCAGAAAAAATCAACATTGTCTAAAATTCAACATTGTCTAGAAAGTAACAATATTGTCTAAAATTCAACATTGTCTAGAAATTAACAATATTGTTTAAAATTCAACAGTGTTGTCTAAAATTTAACATTGGTGTAGAAATTAACAATGGGGTCTAAAATTCAACATTGTCTAGAAATTAACAATATTGTCTAAAATTCAACATTGTCTAGAAATAAACAATGTTGCCTAAAATTCAACAACGTATTCTTAAATTCAACAATACCCAAAATTCAAAAATGTCTAAAATTCCACTTGGAGCATAAAAAAATAACATTGTTGTCTAAAATTCAACAATGATGTCTAAAAGTCAACATTGTTTGCTAGAATTCAACAATGTTGTCTGGACATACTATATGAATACCTGTAAAAATAGTGAGCATATTGTAAAACAGAAGAAACTCCATTACATATTAACTGATAATCTCGATCGGTCCAGAGTTCTCGCAGGCAAACCACATCAAAGTCATGAGAAGATAAAAATTCTGCTATAGCTAACATTCTAGATTTTCTATCTTTCGAAACGATTGGTAGGCCCCTAAAAATACTTCTTTTATCTATATAAATATTTTATTAGCTACTTACCAGCAGTTTAATGTAAACACTTTACAATTGGTTGTCATTATCAAAATATCTGTCTCTATTCTACTATGTAAAAAGTAGTTAAATATACAGGGTGGTGCATCGGCATCGGAAACATAGGAAATCTCCTGCAAATTTTGAACTTAAGTTGCCTGATTTTACATTATTGTTACCTGTTTTAATTTTTTTTCTTGAATTACTTAAAATCGGCTTGTCTAAAACTGTTCAAATTTGGCACGTCTGTTCAGAACACGCAGACCTTCAATACACTTATTTACGACTTGGCGGTAAAATCAACAGGGGAGTCAATATTTGGAGAGATCAAAATTAGCATGGGATTTCCTGTTTTCAACGAAGATGCACCACCCGGTATGTTTCTGTCCTGGCAAATAACTCATTGATTTTCATATATATCCATGAATTTATACAGAATTTTTGAAGATCCACGTCAGGTTTAAATACTTAATTTTATCTTATGAAGACAAATTTAGGAATTTTCCTTGAATTTTCTTCAACGTCAATTTATGTCAAAATCGTTCAGATATGGAGGTATAAAAATATCCGAATTCTATCTATGAATTCTATGTAAAAAGTAGTTAAATATATGTCTGTAACTCATTGGTTTTCTTATATATTCATGAATTTAGAATGTTTGAACATCCACGTCAGGTTGAAATATTTAACATATCCTGTGAACATAAATTTAAAATATAATAGCACTGGTGAATAAACAACAAATGTGTATTGTTGACTTTACCTCACTTTTAAGGGTAAGACTTGTTAATAAAACTATAGCAATATATACAAAAATGTATTTTATTTTAAAAATATGATAAATTGGTGGGCCCTATATTAGTTATATACATATTAGACACTTTTTTTATAATATGTAACAATATCACAATGTTTTTAACATTTTAATTAAAAAAAAACACCTTTATATGTGTAATTCTGAGCATTTGAATCCGAATAGATGGATATTTAATTATTGGCACAACAAATAATATTCACAACTTTTAAAAATTTTCACAACTACAAAACGTAGATATATTTCTCTTGCGACCCTAATAAAGATATCAAGAATTTTGTAGATATATAAAAAGGTAAAATGTAAACATTTAATAAATTCAACATCTCAGAAAAATAAGTAACCATAGAGTTTAATTTAAAAAAATGATATTTATATTATTAGGATGCCTCTATGATTACTGTTTCTGATTCCAACATGCTTTGCAGCTTTTAGACTTTTTATGAGAGCCAACCACATCAATAAAAAAGCGGCGTCGTCACCTCTGAAATATAGGGACAACACTAATAAGTTATTTATTAAAAATGGCATAAAACCTTGTCAAAGGTAATATTTAAATTAAAATCAAAAGTTCTCAACCACACTCAAATCTTATCAGCAAATTTTATTTTTTTAAATGTATCGGTCCTTACATTTTTGTAAATTAAATATTAATATATGACAAATTTTTATGTCAAATTTCAATAAATGGATTGCCACCTTAACGTTTTTTTTTTCGAATGTATGGTATACCTGTAATAGTGCAAAATAGATTTGGTGCTTTCTTTAAATCCCTAATATAACAAAATAAAACACTAAATCACCACAATACGCCAAAACATCGCGCGTTTCGCTAACCATGTTAGCATCATCAGCAGATGACTAAAACTTATTAATAAAAAAAAAACTTAATTAAAAATTATTGTTTTAATTATCTGCTGATGATGCTAACATATTTAGCGAAACGTGCGTCCAGTGTAACAGTAAAAGTGTTTTGGCGTATTGTGGTGATTTAGTGTTTTATTTTGCTGTAAAGCTTATTTTTTAGAAAAATTATATATGTGATAATACTCTTTAAACTCATGTTATCATGAGTCGTGATTTGTTTGAAGCTTTTTCAGTGAGACTTGCATGGCCAGTTTGCCTGACTTGACACCGTGCATCTCGATTTTACTCCACAAAGTTGCCATGAGAAAACAAAATATAGTGAGAACGGTCAAAACAACCCTCAAAACCGAGAATAACGCAGGATAACTGTCAAAAAATCGCGTATTTACTACAGCAGGAACTATAAGACTTAGCAAGAGCAAAGGAAACAACAAAATTACACCCAGCCAATACAAAACTCTCGTTCTAGCTATACTTTTCTGGGCTTCTTTGCATAACATAATGCCTTCTTCTAGAACAGCCCATTTGATTGTGTCGTCTGGCATATTTCTGGAAGATTTGATATCTCTGCTTATGTTTAGTTCGACCATGACAGCCTCATGATCAGAATAACTGTAAGATTTATTAGGAACACGGTCTGGTAAGGGTTGGCTGTAATTTTTTACATCTACTTTGACATTTGATCCAGGATGATACATAATGTAATCAATTCTTTTGCCTAATACTTTGTCTTTAATTAAAGATCTGGGTGTGTAGCTATTCTTGTAACTTTCACATGTTGCATACATGTCTTGAGATAAGTTTCCTGACTGCATGTAGGCATCAGTCATGCCTGGCATGGTTAAAATAACTCTGGAAAATAAAATATATTATTTAAGAATACTTGTTTGCCAACCATGACTTTTTTATTTAATCACACTATACCTACCTATATGACAAATCTCCAGGTTCAGTATTTAAGTCACCGGCCAATACAACCAAGTCAGCTGAACTAGAAGTGAGCAAGATAAACTGAGCAGTGTCATAAGCTTGTAGAACCCGATGTGCTTGGTAGTCATCAGAAGCACGGTTATATTCAGCATGAAGCTACAATAAATCCAATTTTGAGTAATGTAAATTTTATTGAATACAGCTGTTTTTACATGAGCTGAATAAACATTAACATAGAAAGTATCTGTCTCACTTTCAACCTTCAGTCGACATAGACCTACACCTTTGCCCCCCCACCAATCACCATGATGCAATTTATGTATGTAACCATTCACCGACCATTGATGAAAGAATGTCTCTTCAATTTGGTGTTTGGAAAGGATGCATATCCCTGAACCTGTCACCCCACTTGTAACATAAAATTAAATTGTGCAGAAAAAATCAACTTTGTTATCTCAAATACAAAACAATGTCTAAAATTGAACAATGTTGTCTCAAAATAAATACCTGTAGAAATAGTGAGAATATGGTAATACAGAAGAAACTATATTACGTATTAACTGATAATCTCGATCGGTCCAGATTTCTTGCAGGCAAACCACATCAAATTCACTAGACGATAAAACTTCTGCTATAGCTAATATTCTAGATTTTCTATTTTTCGAAACGACTGCTAGGGCCCTAAAATAACATTTGTTTTGTCTATATATATTTTTTTTTAATCACTTACCAGCAGTTTAATGTGAACACTTTAAAATTGGTTGTCATTATAAAAAAATATCGGAATTCTATATCAGATATATAAACAAGGATGTAAGTATGTAATATACCGGTACAGTCTTTAATATATCTCCTATGAACAAAGATTATTTTATTCTCTTCTGTGATTTACCCAGGATTTACCCTGAATTTGAAAGCTTTGAATTTAACTCATTGAATTTAACCCATAAATTTAACCAAAACAACTTTCGTCAACATCAAAATTCATTTTAGGTTATATTCTGCCAACTGTCAAACTGTGGCTACAGCGCTACAGCATGGCTACAGCTACTAATCAGGTGTGTGATGTCTACCCACAATCTACCCACTTTGTACCCACTACTACCCAGAGATATGAACTAAGAGTTCTACCACAAGCCACAAGTATACCACAAGCAATATCAGTACCTGATCATATATAAATTACATCATCTTTCTTAAAAAAAAGGCCGGAAGAGGCTGAATAGCCCTAGTAGCTTAGGCCTTTGCCTTTAAATTAATTAAAAATATATATCACAGATATATCACAGATATATTATAATAATTAAGTCAAAGATTAGTCATGTGTATATGTGATTAGTCATGTCATAAGCAATCATGAGTCATTCACTGTGGTCATTCCTGTGGGTCATTCATAAGTCATTGACATAGGTCATTTATGTTTTTTTAAAGATTATTTTCTATTTTCTTTGAAATCTTCTTGTTATGGAAACTGAAACAGGTTTATGTGATTAGAGATTATACTTGATGAGTATGATAAGCATACGATGTAAGTGTTCATTTAAAATAAACACGTATACATATACTACCTAGCATAATCTAACGTGCTAAGTGCTAAGCAAATGTAATCAAGCTAACATTTAACCTTTATGATTTAACTGAAAACCTTCAATTATCGATAACATTTATCAGCATTTAAAAGCCTTAAAAATGATAAAATAAATAATACTATTTAAGTTAAAGGTACACCGCCTTGCCATGGAATTGGTATGTAAACTTCAAACGTACGATTGGGGCAAAAAAGGCCTAAGTAGTAAAGTAGCTCAATTAAAAAAGAATTCAGATGAAGGATTCCAAGTAGATGAAAATCTTAGCTATGCTGAATTATGGATGGGAACTCATGTTAACGCTCCATCTGTAATCAAAGGTTCAAATGTAAATTTGTCAGATTTTATTTCATCTCATCCGGAAGTCCTCGGAGAAGAAGTACTGAAGATATTTAAGGAACTACCGTTTTTGTTTAAAGTACTCTCTGTGGATAAAGCTCTTTCAATTCAAGCACATCCATCAAAAGTATAAGTTTATAGTCTGTCCCAAGGTCTGTCCAATGAGAAGATAGAAGACAGTGACAGTTTTGTCTGTGGTTTCGATTCAGAAGAATTTTCTGTCATTTTTTTGGATGTCTTCTCACTTGGACAGATTTTATATATTTTTTGTTGAATTATTAAGAAATATTTAATTCTAGGAACATGCAGTTGAATTGCATTCAAAATTTCCCGATATTTATAAGGATCCTAATCACAAACCTGAGATGGCTATAGCTCTGACAACGTTTGAAGCACTGTGTGGTTTCAGGCCATTACAAGAAATTAAAAATTTCATACAAAGTAATCACTTTCCCAAATAATAATAGCATCTTTTAATGCTTGTATAATTCTAGATATACCTGAATTACAAGGCATAATTGGTAGTGAATTACTAAAGAATGATTGTGGACTAATACAAAAAGCTTTTAGAACTGTTCTGACTTGTTCTAAAGACAAAATTAGAAGTATCATTGATAGTTTACTGATTCGAGTCAAAAACTATGGTAATTGTTTCTTATGTTCTTACAAACATCTCAAATGATTTTTTTAGATGAAAATCAAAAAATAACCTACATGGTTTCACTAGTGGAAAGATTACACTCACAGTTTCCGTATGACAATGGTATTTTGATGGTCTACTTTTTGAATTACTTAAAATTAAATCCGTCAGAAGCAATTTTTTTAGGTGCTAATGTGCCTCATGCTTATATATCTGGAGGTGAGTGAAATAAAACATCATGGTCTTCTCATGATACTTTTACCAATACCAATATACCATATATAATATATGGTATAGTCTGTGAAACGAATAACTTTGAATTTGACAGTTCCCGCGGGCTTTTCTAGTGTTAATTTTATTAGGTTAGTAACTTGCGGCCATGCTGACGCAATGCCTTCTCTAATAGAACAGCCTCGAAGCGAGATTTATGACGCCACGCTAGTTAAATACTACGGATTAATAAATATGTTGTAGAATACATGGAAAACATAATAATTCCTCGTATTTTTGGTTTGTATTTTAAAAATGATATAGTTTACATGAAATATACATATATACAGTTAATAAATACAATATATATACCTATTCATAGTAATAAATAACTTTCGCAAATAAACCAAATAAACTATGAACCATACAAATGCAGCAAATGTTTTACAATATACAAATAATGAATAGGTACATAAGATAATGGGTAAAATGTAAAATATATTTTAAATTTTGGGGTTTGAAAATCGATCTAATTTAACAAACAACATTCAATATCTACTACTTACTATGGCTGAAATCGTATTCCATAGTCAATGTAGATAGTTTTAGTGTTAAGAATAATAATTTAAAAAAATACGTGGTCGTCATTTGACAAGTTTATATTAGTTTATTAATTGCAGTAAACATTATGTGGTGTGAATATTTTATATGTAATTTTTTGGATTATATTCGACACTATTTTTTTCATATGACACAACACTGATGAAGGCTATGATGTTAGCCGAAACGTTTTTTTTAACCAAAAAAAATAATGAAAAAAACAAATGAAAACTTAATCAGCGTTTTTCCCGAACCTAAATTCCAAGAAAATAAAAAATTTTAGAATAATTTTACATATAAAATGACAGCGATCTTTATTTCATAGCCATCGCTGCAGCCTTTTTTCTATGATATTGTATTATTCGCAAATATAATTTTTCGAACATTGATACTTGCAAAATATACATATACATTTTGTGAATGCAAATAATAATACATCACTATTAGTAGATATTGAATGTTTTTTGTTAAATTAGATCGATTTTCAAACCCCAAAATTTGAAATATATTTTACATTTTACCCATTATCTTATGTACCTATTCATTATTTGTATATTGTAAAACATTTGCTGCATTTGTATGGTTCATAATTTATTTGCCAAAGTTATTTATTACTATAAATAGGTATATATATTGTATTTATTAACTGTATATTATATGTATATTTCATGTAAACTATATCATTTTTAAAATACAAACCAATAATACGACGAATTATTATGTTTTCCATGTATTCTACAATTTATTTATTAATCCGTAGTATCTACCCCAGTAGCACACCAACATTGGTAAAATAATATATTTACATATTGGCCCAATAAAGAAAAGGCGAGATTTTTTTTTAATGGTAAAATATAGCATTCATATATTTATCCTTTGTTAAAAATCGATATTGATCCAATATGGATATTTAATATTTATCCTATATTTGCTACATTTATAGACATAATGTGTTTTTTCAATAATGGTCCAACATAATTTACATATATTTTTCCATTTTGTTTCGCAAATCTTGGACCAATATTTAGTCTGTACATTGAATCTATGTACATACCACATAATCAAGATTCGGAATAGGAAACTCCCTGGAAACTTTTTATTGTCACTTGATATCAAAATATCAAGATGAAGAATTTTGGTTTTTCGGGTTATTAGGCCGTCGTCGTTGCTCACACTAGACTGATGCCTCCGCGCGTCGGCGTAGCGCGTATTTATGCGTCGGCGGAGGCGGGGGCGTGGCTTGTTCGGGTGGTAGTTCTTCCGGAACTGGTCTACTTCTGTGCCAGCTTTTGGTCTAGATATAGCTGGATGCCAAATTCTGTTAAGGTAGAAAGTTTCTTCCTTCCTGTTGAAATTATTTGGATGATTTGCGCAGTTCAACAGCTTCCTGACCAGACGAGGATGATATGTACAGATGTTTGAATTGCAATTCGTTTGGGTGTCTTGCAGCTTGGATTTTGTGGTACCGCAGTCTTGTCAGAGCATGTTCCGCAGACGGCTGACTTCTCTGTTTGCCCCAGATCTGCAGTGTCTCTTGTGAAGAACTATCGGTCTCCTTCCCAGGACTGAGCGTTTGAGCGAGTTTCAATATATACGCTTCCGCACCACAAGGCGCCTGTGCCATCCTGCCTTGCGAGTGGCTTTTGGTGCGATCCAGTCGTTATTCTTTGACAGCATTTCATTACTGAGTCCCAGGTCTCTGTGCTGCTACTTCCTGAACCCAGATATAGCTCACTGATGCGTTATACAGGCGGGTTTCCAGAACCGATAAGGTTGCTTTCTTCGAGTTTCTTCCATGAAGAAATTACAATTTGAGCTGGCGGTTTGGATGTTTCTCCATTTCAACAGCTTCCATAACCAGAAGGATGATATTTATGTTTCAGTGGTTTGCATTGATACAGTTGTTTCATTCGAATGCTGATTAGATGAGAACTTTACCAATCTCTTGATATTGCCTGACCTGGGAAACATGATGTCAGATGGTTCCAGTTTTATATCTTTTAGCTTTTGGACGAAATGCGTTGAGTCCTTCACATAAGAGTTTGAAGCTAAAAGATATAAAACTGGAACCATCTGACATCATGGTAAGCTTCGATGTGGTATCTCTATTCACGAGAGTACCCCTAGGCGAGTCAATGGATCTAATCAAGGAATCATTCCCACCTGACATCGCGGAGCTCTTCCGAGTGTGTCTGACTGGTAGCTATTTCTTATGGAACGGCAATTACTACGAACAAACAGAAGGTGTCGCAATGGGTAGCCCAATCAGCCCAATAATTGCTAATTTCTTTATGGAGAGATTTGAAGAAAAGCGCTAGAGTCATCCGTTCTGAAGCCCGCTGTATGGTTTCGTTATGTGGACGATACATTTGTGGTTTGGAAACATGGACGTGACAGCCTAGATGACTTCCTTCATCACCTTAATTCGCAGAGCCCGAGCATAAAATTTACCATGGAAACCGAAGTAAACAACCAACTGGCCTTCCTCGATGTGCTTGTCAAGAGAAATGGCGACCTTTGGATCACACCGTGTATCGAAAACCACTCATACAGACCGGTACTTACACAAACTATCAAATCACCATCCAAGCCAAAAACAGGGGGATTATCGGAACATTAGCAAATAGGGTAAGACGTATCTGTGCTAATGAACACATCCAAGAGGAACTAAGTCATTTAAATAAAGCCTTTCTTGCCAATGGCTATAATGACAGAGAAATAAAGGCGGCGCTGGCACCTAGGCAGAGGAGACCTGACGCCAATGAACAGGAAAACATCATTAATAAGGCCTTCCTTCCATATGTTTCCCAGGTCACCGATAGGATTGGTAAAGTTCTCAAGAAGCATAACATCAAAACCATATACAAACCTACCCGAAAAATAAGGGACTGCTTAAGACCAGCAAAAGACAAAAAGAGAACCATTATCCTCTGCAGGGATCTACCGTATACCTTGTTCTGCGGTAGCGTATATATTGAACTACCAAACGCTCAGTAGGAACGAGACTTACGGAACACAAGAGAAACTGCAGATTAGGGCAAACAGAGAAGTCAGCCGTAGCAGAACATGCTCTAAGAGATGGTGACCACAAAATCCAATTCGAAGACACCCAAGTCATTGCCACAACATCTGGATATCATCCTCGTCTGGTCAGGGAAGCTGTTGAAATTCACAAACATCCAAATAATTTCAACAGGAAGGAAGAAACTTTCTACCTTAACAGAATTTGGCATCCAGCTATATCTAGGACCAAAGTAGCAGCACAGAGAAGTAGACCAGTTCCGGAAGAACTACCACCCGAACAAGCCACGCCCCCTCCGCCGACGCATAAATACGCGCTACGCCGACGCGGAGGCATCAGTCTAGTGTGAGCAATCGGAGCAAACACACCTCTGAAGATGCTAGCCACTCGTGCTAGCGAAACGTTAGGAAGCAATTCTAACCGACGACGGCCTAATAACCCGAAAAACCAAAATTCTTCAAACGATGGCCGCGAAAGCCTAAACTACTACAAAATATCAAGATAGTTCGAAAAGTCAATGCATTTTATGCAAGTTATTGTATGTTTTATATATACAGTGGACCATTATTTTCGAATGAGAATGATATATATTATATAATATGTTTTAAAAATAAAAGAAATATAAAAAAAATCTGCACTTCTTTGTAACCAATATGTTGTATAGATTCGGGAAGTAAATATTAGGGAAAGATTCAATAAAACGTTACATCAATAAAAACATAATATATTGCTATATAAAATAAAATAATGAAAAATAAGCTGTTATCCTGATAATAAATAAAAAAACGAAAAATATTTTTCTGTTTCAAAATAACTGTATATATTGGGCATTTCTGTTTTTACGTCTTCCTTCCCTGTCTGCTGCTCCTGTCAAATACAAAGATATGGATTTGTTAATACCTGCATCCGTGGCGCCTGGAAAACGAACAGCTTCTATGAAACACAAAGCAAAATTTTGTTAATTGCAATTTATTACCAAAACAATTTAAAATTTATACTTATAATAGCCTTATAACATGACAACTTCTGAAATGATAATTTTCCCTTCTTTCCTGATCCAGAATAGAGCATTGCTACATCTCTGGCAAACAGTTTTTTCATTAATAAAAAAACAGATTTGTGGGTATTGTCCCCTCCACAAAGGTATAATCGTTGAGCCTAAAATAAACAATTTGATAAGCTTTACATTTTGTTTCTCATACGAGTATAATCTGCAAATAATTATTATTACCAAAAGTTCAATATTTTTTTCATCTTCTAAATGCTGCTCTATAGATTCTAGTAAAGCCTGGTTCTCAATTGGTAGTTGAAAAGGTTCTTCACTAGAACTTAATATTAATCATGCTAATTGTGAGCAACAGGTCCTGAATCTTGTTTACTGTTTTTTTCATATCCTGTATTTCCCAATTCAACTTTTTTATTTCTTTTAAGATCAATCTCTCAGAAGCTAAAAATATACATCAAACGCCCAAGTTATCTTGGTTCAAGTAGGTATTTCTACAAAATATAAGTGATCTTCATCAATATATGTTACCTGTTAAAGCTACTGACGGCTCAAAGGGACTTGCGTCTAATTCCCTGTGACCATTGTTCAAAACCGATGGTGATTCAGCCATACAACGTACTTTATGTTTTATGATACTTAAATTTTCTTTAAATAAAGATTTCATTTTGATTGGAGTAAAATCTCTTTTTTGTAGTTCAGTGATAATGTATTAAATATGTTTAGGTTAGGACGTTTTAAATTATGTAAATAATTATTTACATCTAATATGGTCTAAATATTAAATAATCAAATGTAAAAACGTGAAATATCTAGGAAACCAATAGGTTCACCATACTTGGAACCGCGCGATTTTAAAATGCTCCAGAACTTTGCTAACTCGATTCTATATTTAGCCAATATTGGCCCAACGTTTCCATTTACCTATGTAAAAATATGAAAAATATTGACATTAATTAAACATCAGGTTTATTTCAACAGTTTTCACAATTCAAGTGAGAATTGATAGGATACGGCTATTATTTTAGGTTTTTATTTACTTCTAAATTGTCTGGTAGTTGAGTAAATGTTTAGGTTAGGATGCCTCTTACAGGAAATATCTACTAGTCTACATTTAAAAGTTGTTGAAATAAAGTACTTACCAATTCACCTTTACTTAAAATGATCCAAATTACACTGCACACAAATAGATAAATCACAAATTATTTACTTGATATTAATTTTAAGGCATGTATCATGATTTTGAGATGCAAAGAACACAACAAATTATAAAATAAGGCGGGCGGGCGCGCGCGCGGCGTCATCAATGAATGCGTCATAGGGAAGAAGAGTGGGGATGCAACAGGAACCCGTTTTATGACGTTGTGGCTATCCAGACCAGATTTCTTTATTGCTTTTCGTTTATTTGGCACTCACCACTGGCGTTACAGAATTTCTGCAGGGTATACTGATTAGTTAGCACTCAATTGCAAGTCAAAAATATTACACAAATTATGAATTATTGGCATGACAATAGTAAATTGCAATTATATTAAAAAAAACAATGAATTACTAAACTATAAAAGAATAATGTCGTAAACTAACATGACTGTAATAATATGAATGATTTTTTTTGAAAAATTAAAATAATTATGCATTATTTAAATATTGGTAGTACGTTATTGTGAAAATATAGAATTATAATAAAGGAAAAAGTTTTATTGCCAATCAACTACCAATATTGGCTAAAAATCGGCAATATTGGGCCAGCTTACAATTTTTACCCAACATATCCTAAATATTGGGCCAATATCTTGTGCTATTGGGGTAACTAGCGTGACGTCATAAATCTCGCTCCGACGCTGTTCTATTAGAGACGGCATTGGTCTGATATTTAGAAATGTCAAAAGCTGATGACATTTAACTTTTGACAATTGTGTTGATTTTTGTAAGAAGAGGATGAACTGTCACTTGTTTTATTATTTTCCTTTCTATTTCACGAAAGTAAAAAGAGTTACCTATCTGATTCGTTCAGACACTCAATTTAAAGAATATCAGTAACTTTTTTGACAGAGGAATTTTATATTTACCATGTTGGTAAAAAATAACGGTCAAAATTCAAAGTTATTCATTTTATAGACTATACTGACGAAAAGTTATTACTCTTCAAACCACAGTTAAAAAATATGTAGGTGGCGCCCTCTACATGTGGGAGTCATATTGTCATCGAAATCAATCAATGTTAGTTCAGAAATTATTTGGAAAAAATTGAAATAAAAATGAAACTTCTACACCCTGTATCTCTGAAACGAAGCATTTTAGGACCTATATTTATATGATTTTTTGCTTATTTTATAAATCGTTGCCATATAATATATTAAGAAATCGTTCGATTTTCACCAAAATTGGTATACACCCTATTTTGAAGTCGTACATTACGAATCTGAACTTTTTTTCTGGCATCTCTTACCGTTTTTCAGAAAAACGAAAAACTATTTCAACATCGAATTTTTCTTAATTTCTCACATTTTTAAGGTTTTCTAGCACATATTTTGTTAGGTATTCAATAAACAATGATGTTTTTGCTATTTTCTGTTACTTTTTTAATCAATTCTATGCATAATAGAGAACAATTTGCTAAAATAAATTTGTAAACGTTGGAAACAATCTGAAAACTGAAAATGTTGGGTTGTATTTCTGGCATTTAAAGCAACGGTGCCAATGCTAAACCTAAATTTAGCGTGTTTTTTTCGCTCATTCTGGGATTACGAAAGGCGGTCGCCAGAAGAAAGGCTCCTTCCAATAACTGCTATTTTTTCAACGAGATCTGACTATAACCACGAAGTTGCACGAAAGAATTTTGATTGCATTAGTTACATCTTCCACGCAGAGGGTGTTAATTTTTTGTTGTTGTATTATACCAAAAAAAGATTAACCCCCTCTGCAAAGAAGTTGAAACCAATGCAATCAAAACTCTTTCGTGCAACTTCGTGGTAATAAATAGTCTTTATATAACTTCTTTGCGGAAGGGGTTAATCTTTTTTTGGTATAATATAACAAGAAAAGATTAACATCCTCCGCATAGAAGTTGAAACCAATGCAATCAAAACTCTTCCACGTAACTTTTGTCAGATCTCATAATATGTAATTTCTTAAAAATGCCTAATCACCCGAAAAAATAGAAGATATGACAAAGTTGTAAATTTTCAAATTTCTAGATACGCTCCATTAATGGTGACGTCGTATTGCGGAAGGTCAGTGTCGCCAAATCTAAACAAAGCATGAATTAACCCGTTTTTTTTCTCGTTTATTATTATATTACTGTTTTCTTAAGGATAATTGTATTTTTCCAAGTAAGTACATTTAATTTTGAACCGTACCAGTGCACTTTATAGTTAATAAATTCTATAATACTATGGAAATTCGTGTTCTTTATTGTTTTAACATAACCTCATATTACTTATCCCTATATGTATCCTTTTATGTAATTATACCTATAGTAAACGCTTATATACTTACTCAGAAAGACACAAATATCCTTTGAACCATAGACTTAAAATAAAATATAGACTGCATTATTTACATTTAAACGCGGACAAACAATCTTTTTTGTACACATGTTTACTTCTGGGTACAGTCGACTGAGCCTTCCTCATCCAGCCTATGTTGTCACGTCTTTAATATTATCAATATTTTTTTTCTTGTTATACACATATATTGAGATATTAATACTACATTTTAATAAAGTAGGTTTTAATATTCCATAGATGTATTAAATAGTCCTTATGCTACTAAATTATAAGTCGGATACTATTTGAAAAGGATAAGTTCTTTACAATATGGCAACACCGATTAGAGGCGAGGTCGCCTATTCATTCATTTATTACCTTGTAGTACGTGTCGCACGTGTGCGGTAAAGCTTTGTTGCCGCTATCTCCCCGGTTGTATTAACGCATTTCCTTAGCTTGTAGTCCTTAAGTGTCTATTTTATTGACTTTTTCTGTTCAAGAACTATAAAATATGGTTCGCCAGTGCCAAATTTGCAAGAAATTTGACTTAAATAATCCATTTAAGTCTTGAAACGACTTTCGACCGGTAGGCAACTCTCAATTTACCAATTGGGGGTCAGTGGCGTTGTTGTAGAAAGGCGCTTATTTAGATAATATTTTAGTAAAATGTAAAATCTGATTTTTTTCTCTTACATAATCATTTATATAAATGTTTTTGTAACAAAATTATAATTATTATAACCCCGTTAATAATTAATAATGTTTTTATTAAAAATATATTCCGGTTTATTCTAAAATTATCTTCAGAATCTAAAATAACATACAAGAATTTTAAAATGATATTACATTATGAAACAATATTTTTTAATATACCGGGTACGTCTCAAAAGTGGCTCCCCCTATAACTTTATTATTATTTCAGATAAAAAAACAGATTTGTATGTTAGTAGGCATATGACATAAATTAGGATTGATTGACGTATTCAATTGTTTTTGGTCTCTGCCTGTTTCACCGGAAATCATTACATCTTTTGATTTTTAAAGGCACCCTCGGTATATTGCTACTTTATTCGATAATAAATGACACTCTGAATAGAATGACATATCATGTCAACTTTTGACATTGCCGCTTAAAAATAAATCGTATTTTAAATTTCAATCCAGGGGCCATGGTGTTGTTAAAAACACTAAGTTTTAATCAAGGAGCCTTGGAAAAATAGTTTTGATCGTCTAATAGGTTTCGTGTCTTGTCTAGGCCGGTTAAAAGATGTACAAATCGTATTTTTAATCATATGTCAATTTTTTCAAATTGAACAAGGGTGACTCATTAGCATATTTGGAAAAAGCATTTTTTTATGAATATATTGATACCAAACACTTGGTATTTCGAGCCAAATTGTCGTTATGAACCGCGTGTGAACAATTAAACCATATGCGAAAATGTCAAAAGTTGACATATGATATGTCATTCTATTCAGAGTGTCATTTTCTATCGAATAAAGTAGAAATATACCGAGGCTGCCATTTAAAAATTAAAAGTTATAGTCATTTCCGGTGAAACAGGAAGTGACCAAAAACAATTGAATGCGTCAATCAATCATAATTTATGTCATTAATTTATGTCATTATCATTTGAAAAAATAAAAAAAATTATGGGGATGAGCCACTTTTGGGACGCACCCGGTATAATAAAGACAGTATCGAGTTAAATAAATGTAGTTTTCATTTTATTCACTTCCTATCACCTTCCTTGCTTTAATGGAACAGACTTATGTTTTCTCTAATTTACATAAATAAGACATCACTTAACCAGAAAAAAAAATTACAACAATCATAATTTTTTTTCTCTCCCTGTCGCCGATTCTATTATATCTGTAGAATAGATCCTGGTTTGATTAATATTAGAGGTTGTAAATGTTTGACTAAAATTAATATTTTTTTTAATAATTTCAAAAATTACGAAATTTCGATTATAACATTTCTTCTATAACATGTATTTTATTATTTTTATCCTTTTTGGACTCTAAGACGTTTTTTCTAAACTTTTATTTAAAAAAACCTCTCCTAAATCTTAATAAAATATAAAAAAGTTTAAATACGACATATTTTTAATTTAATTATAGGTTCATTAAAATAAAAAAAATTACCCGGCTATGATACGGAGAGTTCAGGTGTACTTGAGAAACGAAAGACAGTGTTGCGTTTCTCGTCAGAGTAGTCAGGGAACGACCGTTACGACAGAGACAACCTGTCTATCGCTCGTGTAGCACTCGTTATAACCTAAAACAATAACAGGACATTGTCTGACCGCATGTTCCAGCTATTTATGAATGAGATGCTCAGTCTATATTTTATTTTAAGTCTATGCTTTGAACAGAGTAATATAATAAAAAATTAAGAAAAAGTAGATTATCCCATTATATTCTTGCTATGTTTGGATTTTGCGACACTGACCTTCTGCTACATGACGTCACACTAATAGAGCGTATTAGGTCTAGAATATATTTGTTTCTCTCATTACATAGGAGAGAGAAAGAAGGATATATGTAATGTCAAACTTCAATCTGGTCTCAATTTTCTTTGTTATTTTGTTAAGAAAAGTGTTTTTCAGTAAAATTTTGGATATTTTTCTATTCTCAATCAAGTGTGGCTTTTAGATAAACTATAATATAATGAAAATATAGTGAAATTATTACTTTATAGGGCCGAAATAAAGAAAAATTCGATGTTGAAATAGTTTTTCGTTTTTCTGAAAAACGGTAACAGACCACTAAGAAAAAAGTTCAGATTCGTAATCTACGACCTCAAAATAGGGTGTATAGGCACCAATTTTGGTGAAAATCGGACGATTTCCAGTTTTCCCAATAATTACCAAGATATCAAATGACAAACAAGAAGTTGTTATATTAGAAGAACTATAGATACATGTAAAAAATTTTAACTTAAAACTACTGTATGAAATGTTTTAGACTGTGTTGAATGCATGGCATGCTCTGATAACGTTGTAAGGGCAGGATTAACGCCAAAATTTGTCGACGTGGAAACTCTTTGTGATATGTTAATTTATAAAGGCGAACCAGAGGAAAACAAATTATTCACGCCAACACGCGAAAGTGAATTTTCTGTCATTTTTACGCCTCCCGTACCTGATTTTGCCGTAGTTCAAATAGAAGTAACAGACCTGATACTATAGATAGAAGTACATACAAAGATATTAATGTTGATATTGTAGGTACCTGAAAGTCGGAGTTTATTTCAGACATCACCAAGGCTTAGTGCTAGTATTCTACTGGTTATTTCTGGACAAGCACAGTACGAGAATGGCCAAGTGGTACCTGGAACGGTCCTGTTTCTGGCTGCCAACGCAACTGTCACTTTTACAAAAATATGTGGCGATTTGCTTATATATCAGTCTCTGGCAAATGTTTAGTGTTTATCTTTGAGATTTTATAATTTGAATTTTTAATGTGATTTTAAATAAAGGTTATAGCAGTTTTTATTAATTATAATTAGACAATTGAATCTTCCGGTTTTAACGGTGGAACCGGTGAAGTTAACAGTAGGGATGGGCTTTTTTCCAATATATCCATAACTATCAATATATAATAATCGATATAATTATTTAATCATTATTAATGATGTGTATATTATTTATATCGCAACTTCCAAGGATGTGAGGGTGCAGCCACACTATCCTAAAAACGGCGTATCGGCGTAACGGCGTAATGACCTTGAATAGACTTCCAGTAATTCTATTGGCTGAAACATTCATCTGTCAAAAATTTCAGCCAATAGAATTACTGGAAATCGATTCAAGGTCGTTACGCCGATACGCCGTTTTTAGGATAGTGTGGCTGCACCCTGTCTGAAAATATGAATTTTTACTACCCGAAACAGCGTTACATCACACAAACTTCGTAGCTGAGTGTTTTATAGTTTCAATAACTGCACTAGTAAAAAAGTAAAATACTAAAATACTAGTATTACGTAAAATACAAGTGGCATACAAGCTACCACCTCCTCTAGTAAGGGTCGGGAGTCTACTTGTAGACCCAATAGGCTACACAAGCTAAGTTTCCTTTATCCCCATTATACCTACTTTTTTCAGATAAAAAAACGAGATTTGGTATGTTAGTATATGACATAAATTAGCATTGATTGACGTATTAAATTGTTTTCGGCCACTTCCTGTTTCACCGGAAATAACTACAACTTCTGATCTTTAAATAGCATTCTCGGTATTTTTTTATTTTATTCGATAGAAAATGTCACTCTGAGTAGAATAACATATCATATGTCAACTTTTGACATTTTGGCTTAAAACAAAATTGTATTTTAAATGTCAATCTAGAGTGCCATGGTTGTGTTAAAATCACTAATTTTTAGTCAAGGAGCCTTGGAAAAATAAATTTGATCGTCTAATGTTTTTAGTGTCTTCTCCTGGCCAGTTTAAAGATGCCCAAATCGTATCTTTAATCATATCTCAATTATTTGAAATGGAACGAAGGTGGCTCATTAGCATATTTGGAAAAAGCATTTTTTACGAATAATTTCATACCACACACTTGGTATTTCGAGTCAAATTGTCGTTATGAACCGCATGTTACAATTTCAAATAAACCATATGCGAAAATGTCAAAAGTTGACATATGATATGTCATTCTATTCAGAGTGCCACATTTTATCGAATAAAGTAAAAAAATACCGAGAGTGCCATTTAAAAATCAAAAGTTGTAGCAATTTTCGGTGAAACCGGAAGTGACCAAAAACAAGTGAATATGTCAATCAATCCTAATTTATGTCATATACTAACATACCAAATCTCGTTGTTTTATATGAAAAAATAAAAAAGTTATAGGGGGTGAACTACTTTTGAGACGCACCCGGTATACTTATAAGTATGTGTAATAAATTAACTATTATTCCCTTAAACGATGTTTTATTTTATTTTATATATTAATAATAGTCTATCTAATAATTCATTATTCGATACATGTATAAATTAGTTATCTAATAAGTAAAGTTTACAACAATTATTTAGACTTTGGAAGTTTCGTTTTCGGACTTCTTGTAAGATTCCTCGTCCTCAGTGATGATCATGGGAATAGCAAATGGTACGAAAGGGTTCTGAACAAGTTTAGTACGTTTTGTTGTTGATTCCTCTGTTTCATTTAGTCCTGATCCCGATGATGGCCTTGCCATGACGCCCATACTGAAGAATATGAGCAGGAAAAACAAAAATAGATATTTCAGATTCTGAAACAGAAATAAAGATTATATTATATAATGATATTTTTCTCTAAAAATACAGTTAAGACATGAGAAAATAACGTATACAGGGTGGTCCTAAAATGTTTAATTTCTGGGATACAGGGTGTAGAAGTTTCATTTTTATTTCGATTTTTTTCAAATAATTTCTAAAGTTAACGTCAATATTTGGATGAAAATTGGTGTCTGAGAGTTTTGTGACACGAGAAATTTGATTTTGATGCCAATATGACTCCTATTTGTAGAGGGCGCCACCTACATGTGTTTTAACTGCTTTGAATAAAAGTAATAACTTTTCGTCCGTACCTGTATAAAACTACAGAGCGAAAAAATATACATTTCTAGTATAGAATTTTTACTGCGAAAAAATGATAATTAAACAGGGTCTGTTGAACTTTTGGCACAAAATCATTTCAAATTTAAGATTTCAGTCTAAGAACTATTTAGTCAACATGTTTAATTTATGTCAATAATGACCGGTATTGATAATTTCGATTCCAAATATCTCGAAAACCATTACTCGTAGCGATTTTTACCAATAGACCTTTTTCACGTAAAAAAAGTCGCAAATATATTTTTTTCTACTCAGTAGTTTTATACAGGTATGGGCAAAAAGTTATTACTCTTCAAACCAGTTAAAAAATATGTAGGTGGTGCCGTCTACAAGTAGGAGTCATATTGATATGAAAATCAAATTTCTCATGTCAAAAACTCTCAGACACCAATTTTCCTCCAAATATTGACGTTTCTTTATACATTATTTGGAAAAAATCGAAATAAAAATGAAACTTCCACACCCTGTATCTCCGAAAGTAAGCATTTTAGGACATACATTTATATGAACTTTTTTACTTATTTTAATCAACAGATATGCTGCCGACGTTTCCGGAATACAGTTCGGACCACCCTGTATACAAATCATCAAATATCTATAAGATGCTATCTCGCGATTTTTCAATAATTATGGTTTTATTTTAAATTCAATGGTCATCCACTTGCTGAAAGTTATTATTTAGTGTGAATTAACTGTTATTTAAAAGCAATCTCTTTCGATTTTTTTAACTTATTCTTTTTACACTTATGCATTTACACTTTTTACCCTGTATAATAATTGTAAATATTGTCGTCGTTTTCAAATAAAACACTCCACACTACGGTGTAACCAATTAAAGAATATTTTAAAATCAATAAAACTATAATGTTCTTTCTCCTTTGGTGTATCTCACAAATATTAATAAGAAAAAGAATTAGGAAGAGCTGTATGCATTTTTATTTGTGTCACGATAAATGCGATTTTTTGCATTTTACAGGTTTCAAAAAAATATGACTTGAAACATTAACATACCAGCGTTATTTGAAAATATTAATAGGAATACAATTTATTTTATTTTTTTGTGACGTTCCCAAATTTTACATATTTCAGATATATTAACTTAAAATTTAAAAAATAATCAAATTTACATCTTTCAGTTTTTGTATTCTATTTTTTAGTTTTATTTTAGAATATTTACTACATAATATATTAAATGCATTTACAACTTACCATGTTTATCTGTGAGAATACACGTACATACAACACTAATCAGATACAACCGGATGATATTTTCTAGGTATTCTATCTGGCGAGAATGTGTTGGATTTGGCAAGGTTAGATAGACGTGGGTCTGTGTTAACTTAATTTACAGGTCGATGGAATTTTTATTTTGTTGTCCTTTGTCCCCCACCTTAAGGTTTCGCTCTATGGAATATTTTCTTTGAAAACTGCATAACACCCGCATTTGTGCAGTTTTTTAGATTTATATGTTTTTTACTATAATAGATCCATAAATTAGACAAGAGTTATTTCTATGATTAAAAAAAGTGTTGTTTTGAAACGAATTACTAGTATTTATACTTAATTATACCTAATATTTATTAGGCTTGAATATTGGTTTCATGTAACTATTGATTTTTTTTAATGACATTTAAAAAATTATTGTTTTTCTTCTATATTTTATAAGGATTTTTAGTAATTATTTAAAAGTTAACTACATCGCAAAAGTATTTTCTTTTTACATTAAATTTTAATTTATATTAAAAGTTATAATAATGCATAGCAGGGTTGGAAAAAATCATGATTTTTTTTAAAAAAATAAAAAAACAGATTCTTTTTATTTAAATCGGATTTTTTTTTATTTAAATCAGATTTTTTTTTATTTTAATAGAGAACATTATTTAAATCGGCATATCCATAACATTTTAAATCGGCATATCCTAAATGGCTAAATCTTCATAACTCTGCCCGGTACTGATAACATCTTTGAATAAGAAGACTAAGGAAGGAGCATAATGCTATCCATGTATTCATGCATGGTGGGCGGAAAAAGCACTCTAGGGTGGGGATCCTTGACAGTTCTATTTGACGATTCATTTGACATATTTGAATTTGATTTGAAATTTTGTGGATTTGTCAGTCTTTACGGAGCTTATTTTATGTTATTTATTATTTATTCTACTACTGATAGTTGTATAAAGGTAGTAAATCTAGATGGAAATTGTGGCAGAACTTAAATTAACAGTGACACTATCGCGATTTATCGAAAAAGACTCTAAAATAGTTGGTTGTGTAGCGTGCGGTAGATCTCGGCAAAAATTGAGTGAAATAATGGAACAACTTTTCGCTAGTAAGTGACTATACATATAATATACATACGTGTAGTAAACCGATCATTTATGAAATTCACTTAAATTAACTAAATTATATATTTTAGCTTTTATTTACTACTTGTCAAAGATCAGATGTCAAAGAATTTTGACACGTTAATTTGACTTACCTGCTTCAGTAGCGTATCGGATGTTTGTGTTAATAACTACTTATTATAACTTATCTATTTTTATTAGAATTATATATTTTTATAACAATTTTAATAACTACCAACATTTATTCACAACGTAAAATAAAATAACAAATTATTGAGTCTACCCCACGTCTACCCTACATCACAGTTTTACATTTTTTAAATAAAATTAGAACGGCACTGATAAACCGGAATTTAAGTCGGCCATATTTGAGGCCCATCGCGGTGTACCTAAGATTTTTGATATGCTCCTTCCTTAGTCTTCTTATTCAAAGGATAACATTAACAATTCTACGGCGCGTTGTCATTTTCCGACATCGGTCACCAATATATTCGGCAAAAAAGTCGCTAGCTTCAGATCAAAAGGATTTTTTTTCAAATGTCACAAGAGTATTAATTTTTGTCATTTCAACGCCTAGGCATAAAAGTAAAGCACTTTTACGCCTAAGCATAAAAGTACAAAAATATATTATTAAACTGAAATTAAGCGTCAGTTTCAACCTTTGAATAAGAAGACTAAGGAAGGAGCATAATGCTATCCATGTATTCATGCATGGTGGGCGGAAAAAGCGCCATAAAAGGACTCTAGGGTGGGATCCTTGACAGTTCTGTTTGACGATTCATTTGACACATTTGAATTTGATTTGAAATTTTGTGGATTTGTCAGTCTTTACGGAGCTTATTTTATGTTATTTATTATTTATTCTACTACTGATAGTTGTATAAAGGTAGTAAATCTAGATGGAAATTGTGGCAGCACTTAAATTAACAGTGACACTATCATGATTTATCGAAAAAGACTCTAAAATAGTTGGTTGTGTAGCGTGCGGTAGATCTCGGCAAAAATTGAGTGAAATAATGGAACAACTTTTCGCTAGTAAGTGACTATATAATATACATACGTGTAGTAAACCGATCATTTATGAAATTCACTTAAATTAACTAAATTATATATTTTTCTTGCATTTTAGCTTTTATTTATTACTTGTCAAAGATTAGATGTCAAAGAATTTAGATACGTTAATTTGACTTACCTGCTTCAGTAGCGTATCGGATGTTTGTGGTAATAAATACTAATTATAACTTATCTATTTTTATTAGAATTATATATTTTTATAACAATTTTAATAACTACCAACATTTATTCACAACGTAAAATAAAACAACAAATTATTGAGTCTACCCCAGGTCTACCCTACATCATAGTTTTACATTTTTTAGATCAAATTAGAACGACACTGATAAACCGGAATTTAAGTCGGCCATATTTGAGGCCCATCGCTTAGTCTTCTTATTCAAAGGTTTCAACAGATGTATGTACAAATTGTTGGTCGATTACTTACAAGGTATTACTTTTTATATTATTTGCAACGTTTGAAATTGATTAAAAAATTATTTGTAATGTTTGAAAAAAAAAATATATATATATATATATATATATATCCTACTCGGAGTAAAAATGTACTATTGTGCCTCTCTGTTTCCGCTAGTCCGTCAACACGTACAACGTCGTAAAAAAAAGTCTAATTTTTACTCCTTACACAATACACTACTGTTCAGAAATAGTCTTAAGTCGAGAATGAAATTAGTATTATCTATTGTCAAAGTGTAAAATACTTACTGCAGGTTGAAATGTCGGTAGAAATTTGGAAAGAACTAGAAGATAAATTGATGAAGGCAGAAGTTATCTTGATCAATATACAGCTGTTTCAAAAAAGATATAAAACAGCATATTTTCTGACAACGACTTGAAGATATAGTCTTAATTTGAAAATATAGTCTCTTGATTCAGTAATTCGCATAAAAATAGTAGATAATTAAGTCAATTTCATATAAAAAAACGATTTTATGAGAGAGTATCATTGGTTGCCTGCATACAATAGCAAAAAAAATATTTTTTTTTTCAAACGTCACAAAAGTATGAACACAGTTTAAAGAATATAAATTTCTTTAAACTGTGGTATGAATTTTTGCGACATCGTTGACAATATAAAAAAGTAATTTTTTTCCATCGCAACTGTTAAAATTGCCTTATATCTGTCAAAATTAGAAGATAAAATAATACTTTAACCGCAAGAGTAAATGATACCGTATGATCGAAAAAAAACGGCGTCAGCGATGGCTATGAAATGAAGATCGCTGTCATTTTATATGTAAATTTATATGGGAGATGTCATCGATCGTCATTTCCCAGCCAACTGGACGCCGTTTTTTCTCGATCATGTGGTACTTTAACAGCGAGGATAGGTTAAAAACTTTATTTTTTCTCGCACGTTTTTTAATTGCTTCAATTTTTGAAAATTTTTGTATTCCTTTTCATAAGTTATTCGGGATTTAAATGGAAGTAGTTTGGATATGGCGTTTGTCGCCTCAGCCCGAATATCTGTTGGTAATTTACTTATTTCGTTTTGAGCCATTTCTGGCTCCAATTCAATCAGCAACCAATACGAAAAAGAATTAAAAAATATTGACTCAAAACTGACAACTAAAGTCACAGCTTTATTTATTTCTAAAATTACATAGAAACCAACGCCCACCCAGCGCAATATTTTTTCCACTCGTAATAATTCCTTGAAATTAATAATTTCTGAATATTTTTTAAAACGTAACTCGCTATGGAAAAAAATATTGTTTTATACACGACGATAAAATTGCATTATCGTCTTGTATAAAAAATAACTATTAACGCCTAGTCATAAAAGTAAAGCACTTTTACGCAAGCTCAAAAGTACGAAAATATATTATTAAACTGACATAAAGTGTCAAATTCAACGATCGTAACCATAGTTTCTCGATAGTATATAACTAAATACAAGGAATGACTTTTAAATCTTTTTATATTATTTGGAACGTTTGAAATTGTTTAAAAAGTTATTTCATAGATAAATGCAACAAGTTTAGATTGGACAGCCTGTAAAAATTTTAGGTCGCGAAATTATTTTGGGTCGCGACCGTTATACGCGATCTGGCGCTGCTATAGCGGTTGCTAAGAACAACGGCAAACAAAAACAGAAATAATTTTCTCTTGTCAAAGTCAGAATCTTCAAAAATCATAATAATCTTTCAAAAAATCCAAACCGCTCTCATTAAAGAAATTCCGAAAAGTGTTTATAGCGTCCATTTTCAAAGTAATAATAGCTATCTTGTGAGTTTAATTCAAGTTTTATTTACTCCAACCGGTGATAATTGTGAAAAAGTGGCATTAAAAACTTAAAAAGCTGTGCTGTGAACTGTGAACTGCAAAAACCATCGTGGATCGTGGCATAACGTCGGTTTCCAATGTTTCATAGGTATTTCATACATGCGTCCTTATATAAAATAAAGTTTCTTGTGTATGCAACACACCTGTCTTTTATTTATAAAATTAAACGAAAATAATAATAAATTTGAATAAACAATATATGGCGATATAATTCCGGAAAAAGCCGAACCGCTCCGAAATTTTCAAGTTTTGGGTCGCGACCGTTGCAAGAATAGGGCCAAATAGTGTTTACATTGTCCTTATGGGCACTTTCCAATCTAAACTTGTTTCATTTATCTATGAGTTATTTGTGGCGTTTGAAAAAAAATGGCATGTTCTATTCGGAGTAAAAATTACTTTTTGTGCCTCGGCTGTATGTCGTCAAACGTGCAGCTACGAATAGTTTAATTTTTACTCCTAATAAAACAATATCCCATATAGCATGTCCAAATGAAATTACGTTTCTACAAGGGAGACACATGAGAAACAACATTATGTTAAAGTGAACCTAAGTGTTCATCTAGTTCTATAACATATACATATGAGATACACGCAGGTTTATATTGATAGAATTGTGTGATACAGTGTTTACTAGTTGTATACCGTATGCACTCAAGATTC